ATGTCTGGAATAAATAATCGGTTTGAATGTTTATCAAGGTGTGTCTTTAACTCTCAACCTAAACACAGAGTAAACACATCAACAGTCCCAAGTCTATGTCATCACATGACTTGGAGTGTGTGTGTTTCCATCAAGATGATGATGACCACTCTTTTTCATCAAGTATGAGTACCAAGATGACTGATGAGGCCGATGCAGATACGAAACGTTCTTGGACAGTGAGGACACGGAATGAGCGTTGTGCCAGGGAGGGGATCTCCTGCAGTCGCCTTTCTGTCCATCCTTTTCTTAATCAGTCTTGCTGTTCTGTTTGCTTCACATGTAACCACACCCTTGTGTAGAGTTGCATGCCATGCATTTCGGTCTTGAGAGGCAGCCTCCCAATTGGTGTCATTCATCTCAAATGCTTTGAGTGAAGACTTAAGGTGTCTTTAAAGCATTTCTTTTGCTCGCCTTGTGAACGTTTCCCCTTTTGCAGCTCACCATAGAAGAGATTTTTAGAGAGCCTGTGATTTGGCATGCGTACCATATGACCAGCCCAACGAATTTGATACTGCATCAGTAGAGTATGGATGCTGGGCATGGCTGCTTTCTCAAGGACTACGGTATCAGGTACTTTGTCTTGCCATCTGATCTGCATTAGTTTTCTAAGGCAGACTGTGTGAAAGTGGTTTAACTTTCTAGCCTGGCGCTGGCATACAGTCCATGTTTCGCATGCGTACAGCAGTGTAGTTAATACAACTGCTCTGTATACTTTAAGTTTTGTCTGCAGGGTTATGCCACTTCTGTTCCAAACATTTTTGTACAATCTGCTAAAGGCAACGCTAGCCCTAGAGATCCTTGCATTTATTTCGTCAACAATTGTGGCACTCTGTGAAAGGGTGCTGCCTAGATAAGTAAATTTTGTGACCACATTTAATCTGTGGCCATTCACTGTGATACTGGGCTCATGCATCTTTGCCCTGGAGTTGGCTGGTGCAAGGCTACAATTTTATCTTTGTTGATGGTGAGTCCAAAGTTTGTACAGGCATTACTGAATTTGTCGATGTTGTGCTGCATATCTGCTTCTGTGTTGGCATAAAGGGCACAATCGTCGGCAAACAGGAGCTCCCTGATGATGTCTGGTTTAGTTTTTCATTTTGACTCCCTTTTTGACAGGAAAGGACTCTGACAGTTTGCCGTTATCCTGGACTCTTGCTTGCCTGCCATCATGAAACTAACGCACTATCTGGATGAACTTGTGTGGGCAACCAAATTTCTCCATAATCCTCCACAGACCCTCTCGATTTACTGTGTCAAATGCTTTGCTGCTCACCCATCACCACTGGGCTTGAAGAGAGAACACATATGAGATGGTGATGAAAGAGTGAATTGTGCTGTGACTTGGATTAAAGTGAGGAAGAGTTGTGCAGTGTCGTCGACTTCACTCTCTCACCTCAGTCATATCTGGGTCCAGTGGCAAGACAGAGTCAGGACGACTGGAGATATGTCTAGGTGCAGTGTCGTCGACCTCACTCTCTCGCCTAAGTCATATCTGCGTCCAGTGGCAAGACAGAGTCAGGACAACTGGAGATATGTCTAGGTGCAGTGTCGTCGACCTCACTCTCTCCCCTCAGTCATATCTGGGTCCAGTGGCAAGACAGAGTCAGGACGACTGGAGATATGTCTATGTGCAGTGTCGTCGACCTCACTCTCTCGCCTGAGTCATATCTGGGTCCAGTGGCAAGACAGAGTCAGGACAACTGGAGATATGTCTAGGTGCAGTGTCGTCGACCTCACTCTCTCGCCTCAGTCATATTTGGGTCCAGTGGCAAGAGTCAGGACGACTGGAGATATGTCTAGGTGCAGTGTCATCGACCTCACTCTCTCGCCTAAGTCATATCTGGGTCCAGTGGCAAGACAGAGTCAGGACGACTGGAGATATGTCTAGGTGCAGTGTCGTCGACCTCACTCTCTCCCCTCAGTCATATCTGGGTCCAGTGGCAAGACAGAGTCAGGATGACTGGAGATATGTTTATGTGCAGTGTCGTCGACCTCACTCTCTCGCCTAAGTCATATCTGGGTCCAGTGGCAAGACAGAGTCAGGACAACTGGAGATATGTCTAGGTGCAGTGTCGTCGACCTCACTCTCTCGCCTCAGTCATATCTGCGTCCAGTGGCAAGACAGAGTCAGGACGACTGGAGATATGTCTAGGTGCAGTGTCGTCGACCTCACTCTCTCGCCTCAGTCATATCTGGGTCCAGTGGCAAGAGTCAGGACGACTGGAGATATGTCTAAGTGCAGTGTCGTCGACCTCACTCTCTCGCCTAAGTCATATCTGGGTCCAGTGGCAAGACAGAGTCAGGACGACTGGAGATATGTTTATGTGCAGTGTCGTCGACCTCACTCTCTCGCCTCAGTCATATCTGCGTCCAGTGGCAAGACAGAGTCAGGACGACTGGAGATATGTCTAGGTGCAGTGTCGTCGACCTCACTCTCTTGCCTCAGTCATATCTGGGTCCAGTGGCAAGAGTCAGGACGACTGGAGATATGTCTAGGTGCAGTGTCGTCGACCTCACTCTCTCGCCTATGTCATATCTGGGTCCAGTGGCAAGACAGAGTCAGGACGACTGGAGATATGTCTAGGTGCAGTGTCGTCGACCTCACTCTTTTGTTTGAGCCATATCTGTGTCCAGTGGCAAGACAGAGTCAGGACGACTGGAGATATGTCTAGGTGCAGTGGATGACCAGGGCGTTCTACGTGCTTCGTCATGCTCTTTGCGCTCTACAGTGCTTTGCTAGTATTGCCTCTTGCCCGTTGAACCAAATGTGGTTTCCTTCACGCATTCTGCCGACAGTAATCTTTGCATGCTTGGATAGGCAGATCCTAACTCACTGATGGTTAAAAAAAACATCGGCTACCCTCACCTGGTTTTGCCGGCCTGTCAAAGCCGTTTGCCTGGAGGGGGAGGAGGGGGAGGGGGTGGTCGCTGTCGCATGCTGAAGCTATGTAGAGCCACAGGGAAGAGCTGAGTAGTGTCAGTTTTAGAACAAAGGTTAACAAGCTGTCCTAAAAAGGACGGGATAAGCTCCCCAACCCAAGGTACCACCAATAACTGACACCCCATACCTCCCCTGACCAGGAGTAAACAAATCAACAGTCCCAAATCTGTGCCATGACATGACCCAGAGTAAATACATCAACAGTCCTAAATCTGTGCCATGACATGACCCAGAGTAAACACATCAACAGTCCTAAATCTGTGCCATGACATGACCCAGAGTAAACACATCAACAGTCCTAAATCTGTGCCATGACATGGCCCAGAGTAAACACATCAACAGTCCTAAATCTGTGCCATGACATGACCCAGAGTAAACACATCAACAGTCCCGAATCTGTGCCATGACATGACCCAGAGTAAACACATCAACAGTCCTAAATCTGTGCCATGACATGACCCAGAGTAAACACATCAACAGTCCTAAATCTGTGCCATGACATGACCCAGAGTAAACACATCAACAGTCCTAAATCTGTGCCATGACATGACCCAGAGTAAACACATCAACAGTCCCGAATCTGTGCCATGACATGACCAAGAGTAAACACATCAACAGTTCTGAGTCTGTGCCATGACATGACCCAGAGTAAACACATCAACAGTCCCAAATCTGTGCCATGACATGACCCAGAGTAAACACATCAACAGTTCTAAGTCTGTGCCATGACATGACCCAGAGTAAACACATCAGCAGTCCCAAATCTGTGCCATGACATGACCCAGAGTAAACACATCAACAATTCTAAGTCTGTGCCATGACATGACTTAGAGTAAACACATCAACAGTCCCAAATCTGTGCCATGACATGACCCGGAGTAAACACATCAACAGTCCCAAATCTGTGCCATGACATGACCCAGAGTAAACACATCAACAGTCCCGAATCTGTGCCATGACATGACCCAGAGTAAACACATCAACAGTCCCAAATCTGTGCCATGACATGACCCAGAGTAAACACATCAACAGTCCCAAATCTGTGCCATGACATGACCCAGAGTAAACACATCAGCAGTCCCGAATCTGTGCCATGACATGAACAAGAGTAAACACATCAACAGTCCCGAATCTGTGCCATGACATGAACAAGAGTAAACACATCAACAGTCCCAAGTCTGTGCCATGACATGACCCAGAGTAAACACATCAACAGTCCCAAATCTGTGCCATGACATGACCCAGAGTAAACACATCAACAGTCCCAAATCTGTGCCATGACATGACCCAGAGTAAACACATCAACAGTCCTAAATCTGTGCCATGACATGATCCAGAGTAAACACATCAACAGTCCCAAATCTGTGCCATGACATGAACAAGAGTAAACACATCAACAGTCCCGAATCTGTGCCATGACATGACCTGAACTAAAAAAAGTATGTGCCATAGGACATCTTTGGCATGTGGTGCTTAAAAATTAGATGAATCAGCATTTGATTTGATTGCATGGTATTATCACATTTGATTTGATTGCATGTTATTATCACATTTGATTTGATTGTGTGATATTGTTGCCTTTTTAACTGATTGTGGGATACTGTTAGCATTTCATTTGATTGTGCGATACTCTTGGCCTCACACCTGCTGCTTGTAGTTTGCACAATATTTCATGACAATATTGACATCATTTTAATATTTGATGATCCAGGTAGCAGGTCCATTGTCGTGGTTTTCTGTATATGTTTCTTGTGTTTCTCAATTATCTATAGTGGTGTTTTTGTTTATCTTTTGAATGATTCAGCTCAATTGTTTATCCATTTTTTTCTTGGTCCTTCTCTGACCTTCTGTCTAGATTTGTTTTTCTGTAGAAGGTCTTATATACAGTTTGGTCTGTGACATCAACTGTTTTTTTTTTTTCAGGCAATCAAAGGGGACAGAAACATTGCCATGGAAACAGTCTTCATAAGAAACAGCCAGGCAGGAGGTGGTCCTTCTTTGACAACCAGAGGTAGTAGCCCCAAAGATGGATCTCTCAGCGGAGATGAGTGCAGTGGCAGTGATGGTGGGCAAAAGGCAGAAATGGAAGATTCGCAGTCAAACTGCTCAAAGGTGTCCAGCGATCTGACCCCTAGTGATAACAGAAGTAATGAAGAAGCCGCCAGCTCAATGAAAGAATCTGATACTTCTATGAAGAATATGAAGGGTGTACCATCTGTAGCTTCCTCGAATTCCTCAAATGATCACAACAGTCAGGAGGAGGTATTGAGTACAGCTTTGAGAAACACTGAAGATGTTTTCAGAAAACTGTTTGTCCCCCTCAAAGTACAAATCTATCAGAAGGCAGACACTCCAAGTGCTCCTTACTGGTTAGTGGAAGCACATCTTAGTCCGCGTGTGGCCATGACCTATAAAGTGCCCTGTCGCCAACTGGAGGATGTGCTGAATGAGGACCATAAAAATATGTCCAGCCTTGTCCAGTCTCCTACTGTCAAACAGCAGCTTCTTCAGCTCCTGAATGATGTGGAAATAAAATCAGAGGCAGTCACTGAGGCAGCTAGCATGTTGACCAGTGGCTATTTAACATCAGTAATTGCCACAACTCCATCTTCATTATTCACACAGTCTTCCGCTTTGTCATCAGACTCATGTCTGAAGTCAATCAAGGAAGAACCCAGCAGTGATGATAAGTCAACAGAAAATGGCAAAGCAATAGATGATGAGCATGTAACCAAAGCTGCCCATGACTATGCTAATGAAATAAAAACATCAATGGCAGACATGAAAGAGCTGAAGACTGACACAGGTTCCTTCCCATACCAGTGTTCTACCTCACTTGAATCCTGTTTTCCCACAAAAAGTCTGCCTGACACTCTGGGCAGGAGAGCTTCCCCTAATTATAAACATACTACAGAGGACCATAGCTCCTCAGATACTATCACTGACCAAATCGCTGAGGACCCTACAATTAGTACTTCATTCAGAGGACACTCTTCCTATACAGACACAAGCACCTTACGTGGAAGCAGCTCATTCAGCTGCATTTCATCAGGAACTGATTGCCACATTCAAGAAAAACTTCAGGCAATGGGATCAAGCTGTTTCCCTGGACAGAGGATTGAGGACATCATCATGAGTAAAGTGTTTCTTCCCCAGGAAGTGTTCTCCAGCAGCCTAGAAGCCAGGAATATGCCTCTCACGTTCCACACATCAGAATAGTTCTAGAGGTAGATTCAGTCTGAGTTGCTCTATTGGAAGTATAGCATCAGTCTATTGTTCAGTTGGAAGTATAGCATCAGTCATTGACTTTGTTGGAAGTATAGCATCAGTCAGTTGTTCAGTTGGAAGTATAGCATCAGTCATTTACTTTGTTGGAAGTATAGCATCAGTCTGTTGTTCAGTTGGAAGTATAGCATCAGTCATTTACTTTGTTGTAAGTATAGCATCAGTCATTTACTTTGTTGGAAGTATAGCATCAGTCATTTACTTTATTGGAAGCAAAGCATCAGTCATTTACTTTGTTGGAAGTATAGCATTAATCTGTTGTTCAGTTGGAAGTATAGCATCAGTCATTTACTTTGTTGGAAGTATAGCATCAGTCATTTACTTTTTTGGAAGCATAGCATCAGTCATTTACTTTGTTGAAAGTATAGCATCAGTCTGTTGTTCTGTTCAAAGTATATCATCAGTCCGAGTTGGCCTGTTGGAAGCATAGCATCAGTCATTTACTTTATTGGAAGTATAGCACCAGTCATTGACTTTGTTGGAAGTATAGCATCAGTCTGTTGTTCAGTTGGAAGTATAGCATCACTCCTTTACTTTGTTCGAAGTATAGCATCAGTCTATTGTTCAGTTGGAAGTATAGCATCAGTCATTTACTTTGTTGGAAGTATAGCATCAGTCTGTTGCTCTGTTCAAAGTATATCATCAGTCTGAGTTGGCCTGTTGGAAGCATAGCATCAGTCTTATTGCTCTGTTGAAAGTATAGCATCAGTCTTATTGCTCTGTTGGAAGTATAGCATCAGTCTTATTGCTCTGTTGAAAGTAAAGCATCAGTAAATTGCTCTGTTGGAAGTATAGCATCAGTCTATTGCTCTGTTGGAAGTATAGCATCAGTCTATTGCTCTGTTAGAAGTATAGCATCTGTTGCTCTGTTGGAAGTATAGCATCAGTCTATTGCTCTGTTAGAAGTATAGCATCAGTTGCTCTGTTGGACATATAGCATTACCACAGCAGCAGTAATGGTCACCACAGCAGCAGTCATGATCACCACAACAGCAGTCATGATCACCACAGCAGCAGTACTGGTCACCACAGCAGCAGTACTGGTCACCACAGCAGCAGCACTGGTCACCACAGCAGCAGCACTGGTCACCACAGCAGCAGTAATGGTCACCACAGCAGCAGTAATGGTCACCACAACAGCAGTCATGATCACCACAGCAGCAGTACTGGTCACCACAACAGCAGTACTGGTCACCACAGCAGCAGTAATGGTCACCACAGCAGCAGCACTGGTCACCACAGCAGCAGTACTGGTCACCAAAACAGCAGTAATGGTAACCGCAGCAGCAGTAATGATCACCACAGCAGCAGTAATGGTCACCACAGCAGCACTACTGGTCACTACAGTAGCAGTACTGGTCACCATAGCAGCAGTAATGGTCACCACAACAGCAGCAGTAATGGTCACCACAACAGCAGCAGTAATGGTCACCACATCAGCAGTAATGGTCACCACATCAGCAGTAATGGTCACCACATCAGCAGCAATGGTCACCACAGCAGAGGTACTGGTCACACAGTCCCTAATTAGTTGTGAAATGAGTAAAGGTCAAGAGTCATGTCTCAGCCTTGAAGCTGACTAAGTACATGGTGATAGCATGTGTATAAAGCTGGCTGCACATGGTGGATGAAGTCAGTGTGATGTCAGCTGTCTTGACTTTCCAAAACACTTCCTGGCACTAATTTTAAACTGCACTGGCCTAAGAACTCAAGTAATTTGTTGATAAAATTCTGGCCTAGAGAAAGGATTTAAACACATAAACACAGAGTCGACAGGCAACTGTGATAGTCACTGCACTATGATAGCTTCCCTTGTGTACAGCAAGGACTAAAAAAAATTAGGGGTTGGGGGGAGAGGGTACACCATCTTCAAGACGTCTTAATTGTTTTTTTCAATTAAACAGTTGCTATTTTTATAACAACATCTGCTTGTTACTGGTGTGACAACCAAGGGTAGAACTTGTTTTGGAATACAGTGATGAAGTCAATATTTTGTTTACCTTCTTGTGCTTTACGTGTCTCGTCCAGAGCAGACAGAACAGATCAAACTTCTTGAATATCTCACTGCTATCACCTTTTTTTTTAAAACTCTGTGTTTCTGATAATATTTGGTTATACCTTACAAAAATCTCCCCGATGTGTGTTAGCTCTGCCCATTTACGCACTAGGTCACTTTTCATTCATACTTTGTTAGGCTATTTTCAGAGAACACATTGACCATATGATAACAGAAGCTTTCAAAGGCCTATCAGGCCTATCAGGAATGAGGGTCTTGATCAGCATCAACTCTGAGCAGAGACTGCTACTATTTTTATTCCAGCGACTGATTCTTTCAACCATCAACCTCAGCCATCCACAGATCAAAAGATTTGAGATGGTGCAAAATGATGCCATTTGGCAGTATTTTTGGTTGCTTGAGAGACAGCTCATGTGAAGCTAAGAGATGTCTTCTTAACTCTCAGACTATGTGATTAGGATATGGATGGATCAGGCATGCCTGGAAACTTATGCAGATCTGAAGCACCCTTTAGATCACCTGCTTTTCAGTGAAAGGGCTTAAAAAATGCAAATCATGGCTGAATAGGGTAGGGGATAATACTAGGCAGGTCTGCAGTCTTACAGACATCTCCTCAGCTCATGAATGGATACCTGTGCCTGCTGCACTCAACTGCACTTTTTCCTGTTTTATTGTGCTTGGTAAAAGTTGTTTTTTAGTGGGGGGTGGTGGGGGGGAATCCTGTTGCTGTCAGTGCAGAGGTCTACGTGTTATTCAGGTGAGGCAGATGTACTGATATGCTTATTGGGAATACTGAGCACTTATAAACGTGTCTGGAATGCCATGGAAATAACATAGCTCACAACTCATTTGATTTCAAATCTAGTTTATAACTCATTTGATTTATTTCTGGTTTAAAACTCATTTGATTTAAATCTGACTTATCTCTGTGTTTATAACAATTGACTTATCTTTGTGTTTAAAACATGTGACTTCAAATATGACAGAGGCTTGTGTTTGTAATATGTATTTTGACTAACTGCCCTATGCCTGTGGTCTTAACATTTGGCTCAAGTTTTTTCTCGTAATATTTGATGTGGTATATGACTTCACTCAATACTTGTAAATTAGGACTTAGGCTGGAGCTCACAACATTTGACCAGAGCCTGGGCTTGTAAACATTTGACTGGAGCCTGGGCTTGTGAACATTTGACTGGAGCCTGGGCTTGTAAACATTTGACTGGAGCCTGGGCTTGTAAACATTTGACCGGAGCCTGGGCTTGTAAACCTTTGACTGGAGCCTGGGCTTGTAAACATTTGACTAGATTCTGGGCTTGTAAACCTTTGACTGGAGCCTGGGCTTGTAAACCTTTGACTGGAGCCTGGGCTTGTAAACATTTGACTGGAGCCTGGGCTTGTAAACCTTTGACTGGAGCCTGGGCTTGTAAACATTTGACTGGAGCCTGGGCTTGTAAACATTTGACCGGAGCCTGGGCTTGTAAACCTTTGACTGGAGCCTGGGCTTGTAAACATTTGACTGGATTCTGGGCTTGTAAACATTTGACCGGAGCCTGGTCTTGTAAACCTTTGACTGGAGCCTGGGCTTGTAAACATTTGACTGGATTCTGGGCTTGTAAACATTTGACTGGAGCCTGGGCTTGTAAACATTTGACTAGATTCTGGGCTTGTAAACATTTGACTGGAGCCTGGGCTTGTAAACATTTGACTGGAGCCTGTGCTTGTAAACATTTGACTGGAGCCTGGGCTTGTAAACATTTGACTGGAGCCTGTGCTTGTAAACATTTGACTGGAGCCTGTGCTTGTAAACATTTGACTGAAGATTGGGCTTGTAAACATTTGACTGGAGATTGGGCTTGTAAACATTTGACTGGAGATTGGGCTTGCAAACATTTGACTGGAGATTGGGCTTGTAAACATTTGACTGGAGATTGGGCTTGTAAACATTTGACTGGAGATTGGGCTTGTAAACATTTGACCGTAGCCTGCACTTACAATCTTACAACACTTGAGTTGGAGTCTGACTGAAGCCTATGCTTGTAGATGTGTTCTACGTGTGCATCGTGTAGTAACTAACTTTGTTAATCCATGATTATAGTCAGATTCTCATGTGAAATTCCTTGGTTGTAGCTAGATTTTCACTTGACATTTCATGCCAAGAACATCTCCTTGTTTTCTGTGATTTCTCTACTGGTGGATACTGGTCCAAGTGTGTTTGAGGTTCACTGTCTGTTAAACTCGTCTAGTCCCAAATTGTTTTGTCAGAAATTCTGCAGGTGTTCATTAAACATTCCCATTAGAAAGAACTGTAGGAATGTCACGAGAATGGAAGTTTTCACCTAGGAAGTGGCCATTTTTGTTTAGTCTGAGAAGACGCATGTGGTGATGAATGTGGCCAATAGAGAACAGCCATTCACACACTTCCTGCTGTTTGGTAATAAAGGTATTGACTGTAAATATTCCTGTATTGTTAAGAACAGCTTTTTCACTGTGATATGCCTGTATTGTTTAAATACCATGAGAACATCCCATTCAAATAAACAAATTTTCAGTTACTAATGTCGAACCTAGTGAAAGAGGGATCATGAATCTAAAAAACAAATTCCCCCTTCCTTTAAGCCTTCTGAGTTATAAATCACTCAGATTCACTGAGTCTCATCTGTTGACTAGAAGAGATTTGGCATGGGGGGATGCTTGAACAATCAAAGGAGCGGTGGTTGTTTTTGTAAAATTTAGCCAGCATTGTGATTGTCCTGGAGAATGGGATAGCAGCAGCATCACAAATAAGTGGGCACACTGAATTTAAAAAAAATAATTAACACAGAAGAAGAAGAACAGAGAAAAAGAACATGCTGATATAAGTGAACTTACCCATCTCCGAGTTATAACAGATTGCAGTGGTTACCTCATTTTCAAAATAAACATAAGAAATTTTGGCAATAAGCAATCAGTTTTATCATTCATTAAATTAAATTAAATATAATTCTTAGCTTTTGTCTTAATATGATCTCTCCGTTTCTTTTGACTGTATGAAAACAAGATATGAGCTAAAAACAAAAAGATTAGAGGCTTCCTGTTCCCCCTGCTTGTTGGAGTTAAACAGCCACGGCAGCAGGTTATTGAAACAGAGTGGAGTCCCACAAAGTGCACACGCTCGCCAAGTATCTTCTGATTTACATTACTTATCATCACCATTATGTGCCCAGGAGAGTGGCGTAAGCGTTCATGCATCTCCTCAGATCTCTGTCCCTTGTCTCAGTATCAGTTCCACCGATGATATCCCTCTGTGCCACTGTCACAGTCCATCCATCATCATCTCTCTTCGCCTGCCTCTCCCTCTTCTACCAATGATCTTCCTAGTCGTTACAAAATTCTTCGTAGCCTCACCCCTCATCATATAACCAAAAAAACAGTGATTGTATTTTCCTTTTAGCTGTATATATATTGATCTGCTGTCATTAGCTTTCTTCAAGCAATCCTCATTACATAACTAGCATTACTGAATATTGCCACAGACAAGAATCCAAAAGTCCACAAGTAAATGACACTGCTGTGTTTTGTGCCATGGAAAACACCCCAAACAGCTTCCGGTTAACTTCAAAAGTCAGTAGAGAAAATAAAACCAGAACTGTACAAAGAATTGGGTCTAAAATGAAAGCAAACACAACTGGCAGCGTTTTATTTTCTTATTCCCCACAACAAGACAGAACATCCTTAATGCTAGAATACACTTCGAATAGTGACCCCACCCGGGGTTACTTGAAGGTATTCAGTCATCAGATTCAAATAGAAGTCAAACAGAGAAGAAAACTTGTCGAAGTCATCTAAAAAAAAAAAAAAACTAAATTAAAAAAAAATCAACTGGACGAAACATACTGAAAGCACATTACGCAACTCTACAAGGAAGCAGTTAGGCCTATTATGGAATACGACTCAACGAAGTCAGCTTCCCTAATGAAGACATCGCACGCACATACACTCACATAGATGCGCGCTAGTGTTCAGACGAAACCCACATGATAAAACACAGCATGTTGGCCATGTTATAACAGAAGCACCTAAAACCTGTCAGCAATGAGGGTCGTCTCCGTCGCTACTATTGAGCAGAGACTGCTTCATCTTATGTTCCAGGGACTTGTTCGTTTTCCCATGGAATATGCTATAACCATTCTCAGATTCAAAGACCTGAACGGTGCAAAACGAAGCCATTATTCTGGGGAGAGATATCTCTTTTGTAACAATGAGATACCTTTTTGATTGCCCAACCATGAACAACAGGATCAAGATTTGGAGAGCTCACGCATACCTCATTAAAAGCTCCGGTCTGAAGCACCAATTGCACCACATGTTTTTCAAAGAAAAGGGCTTCTTCGTCTTCTTCTCCACCTTGTAGTACATCATCGAGGTGTCGGGGGAGATGTAACATTCGTCGATGAGCTCTGTCTAGAGCACTATTAGGACTGATGTTCATTTCAGTAATGCCATTTCTTAATGCCATCACTCCATATTTTCCAAGGTCTTCCACTCGCTCTATACCCGTTGTAACGTTTAAGCGTGGCTCGCTGTGGCAGATAGTACCTGGGAATTCTTGTTAGGTGTCTAGCAAAGAGCAACAAAATAAAATATGACACACCATGGCCGGGTATGGAAGAGGAAGATATCAAGCAGGACTGCAGTCTTACAGACATCCACCCTAGTGAGGAATAGATACCAATGTCTAAAGCGCTAAATCTTACATTCTCCTGTGTTGTCACGCTTGATAGGATTTATCGGAACAGCATTCCGTAGCTGCCAACGACGAGCTCTTATCAGTGACAAGACAGATGGGCTGATCTTCACAGATGGGTCCGTTATACGAGGACATAAGAGTGCATGGGCATTTACAGATCGCTCTTTAGGCAGAACAGTTCAAGAAGCCAGCGGTGCCTTCTCCATGACCACCAGCAGCATGGCGATGGAGGTGATGGCGGTGACACAAGCTTTCGTGTGGCTAGAATCACAGGACTATTCCCACGTGTGTGTGCTGAGTGATTCTCTGAGCATGCTCCGGCAGGTCGAGGCAGGTTCCATACGAAGTGGAAGTCAGTTCACAACTCTCCTGTGTGTGCTGAGTGATTCTCTGAGCGTGATCCGGCAGGTCGAGGCAGGTTCCATACGAAGTGGAAGTCCGTTCACAACTCTTCTGTGTGTGTATGCTGGTGTTGTTGGCAATGATATGAAGTGATAGATTAGCAGGTTTACATTAGTTGCAGATGACTGGCTCATGGATCACGTAGACATTTTCAGTGCTCTTAGAGAGATAAGACGTTCTGAGGATTTCAGAAGCAACGTTTCCACATCACTGCTAAGAATACGAGAATTGCGTGTAAAGATAGGCACAGCCAAGCATGAGAGGCACACCAGACACACAAAACGTCTTTTCAACCAGCATAGGATTGGCAATATTAACCGCGCGACGCTGATGAATATGTTAAAGATGGCGTTGAAATCTGAGCACATATGTGCATGTCCGGAGTGCTGTGAACATAATCCAACTCATAACACCCACATACATTCAATTAAAAAACGATTATGTTCCGTCTCCACGCTGAAGGTTAGCAACAATGCGCCGGCTGCTGTCTTTTAAAGTATTATTTGGTGAGGCCCTAGTCTCTGTCATGGTCAGATTCTCGTACTATTGCTGTCTGAATACCACAAGTACTTTTTATTTATTTTGTTATTTTATTGATAAACCTGCCTCCCTGGGAGTCCAACTCTGATACGTCATGGAAATGTAAAAACCGCCTCCAGTCATTTCTAGGTCACAGAGCCGCACTCCCAGTAGCGGCTTGAGGACCCTATCCCCAACAGCATGAGAAACTTACACAAACTTCTGACCAGAGGCAACAAGCATCCTTTCAACCGTACAGACGAGTGTAATGAGACGCAGTAAAACACTTTTATATTCACAGACTCGTTACCAACCATTCAAGTCATCTCATGCTCCAGAAAAATACACCAGAATGTTGCTCACAAGAACAGATAATATAAATGAAAAGATAGATGAAGCCCAAGAAGGCTGATGAAATTTCATTTAACCCCACTTGTCGCAGAGCTTTAATGTTACAAAGACACTCTTAAAACAATGTACCACTCGTGACAGAGCTTTAATGTTACAAAGACACTATTAAAACAAAGTACCACTCGTGACAGAGCTTTAATGTTACAAAGTACTCTTAAAACAATGTACCACTCGTGACAGAGCTTTAATGTTACAAAGATACTATTAAAACAATGCACCACTCGTGACAGAGCTTTAATGTTACAAAGATACTCTTAAAACAATGTACCACTCGTGACAGAGCTTTAATGTTACAAAGATACTAGTAAAACAATCCATAAAGTTGAACTGGACAGAAAACAGCTCAAACAACAGACCGCAGCATGACATTTTAAGTAATCTTAGATACATTTAGACTAGAATTTTCAGACACTAAATAGGATCTTGTGAGCTCTGAACCAAGTCTTGTCTGACACACCTAGGCATTTAATTATCCGATGGGGCGTTTGTATTAGTTGACCAGAACGCCCCTACACCTATAAACAAATGTCGTATGAGCGCAAGGGTCTGCTGGTGCACTTGACCGGCTCCCCACTAGCATAGAGTTTCATTAGTTATATGTAATATTCAACGTTTAAATCATTTGTTATATGTAATATTTGACGTTTAAATCATTAGTTATATGTAATATTTAACGTTTAAATCATTAGTTATATGTAATATTTAACGTTTAAATCATTAGTTATATGTAATATTTAACGTTTAAATCATTAGTTATATGTAATATTTAACGTTTAAATCATTAGTTTTTTGTAATATTTAACGTTTAAATCATAAGTTATATGTAATATTTGACGTTTAAATCATAAGTTATATGTAATATTTGACGTTTAAATCATTAGTTATATGTAATATTTAACGTTTAAATCATTAGTTATATGTAATATTTAACGTTTAAATCATAAGTTATTTGTAATATTTGACGTTTAAATCATTTGTTATATGTAATTTTTAACGTTTAAATCATTAGTTATATGTAATATTTGACGTTTAAATCATAAGTTATATGTAATATCTGACGTTTAAATCATTAGTTATATGTAATATAAAACCGAAAAAATATTTATCCACCTCTTTATCCCCCCCCCCGTGTTTTTATCTCCCGCACACATAGGCATATATGTGTGTTCATGTGAGTGTGTGTGTGTGCGTGCTTTGTGTGAGTGTGGTGTATTTGTGTATGTGAGTGTACATCGCACAGAGCAGAAATAGTGGTATCGTGTGTTGACACGAGGTTTGTGTAATTCGTTGACTTCTACACGGAGCCTTTGATTCTGGAGCAAGTCAAAAGCGCACTTTACAAATCTCATCAAATAGCACATTTGTGTGCTAGCGGGAAGAAAGAAAAAAGGGGGTGGGGGAAATGGAAGTAAAAGGGGCTAAGGAACATTGTGATTATACAAAAAAATAATAGTTCCCCACTGAACAGCAAAAATAAAAAAGTAAAGTAGAGACAAGGGTTCTTCTGCGCAGAGATCCTAGAATATTCCACCGGAACACAGACAAAGAATATATGTATGGTGAGACATAGTAACAACCTAACTACATGGCTACACAAACCTAGACGAACCACGTGCACGAACTGCAGATCCTAAATTGAATCAAGCAATGAACTGCAATCATCACATTAAATAGCTGTTTATTTTACTGAACATAAGACAATACTAAGCGCTTTTCACAAATAACAAAACAATAACAATTATCAACGTGCCAGTCACTTCACTAATAAAATGAACTATCTCCGAGCGATGATATATCTTTACACAGTTTAACTACTAGAGACGAATTCAGAGCTAACTATGGAAACATACCACCGCCGTGAAATCAACAAGGAAATCGGCCATCCCCCTGCAGGCGCCCGTACCCAAGCTGTTTAGCCCAGTGTGCAGAGCAACAACAGCCGAGTGGGTCTCCTGCCCAGAGCGACCGCAGGCTCAGTCCGGAAGCCAAAATGATCCCGTTTTTTTGTGCACAGTAGCTAGGTATTTTTCACAAGTGAAATCAAAAAACAAAAATTAATAGCTTGTTGCTCCGGCCACATTTGCATTATTAATTGCATAAGTCTTTTTTCAGTACACTCGAAATAACTTTTTATGTAAAGGCTCAGAACAATGCCTTATAATTTCAAATATCGATGCAACATTTCTTAAACGTACAAATACATCTGACGTGGTAGCAAAAGTACAATTTTGCTCGACAAAGGACAAGCAGTACCAAATCTGTAATCAAGTAAAGGTGAAAGGTAAAGGTGAAAGGTAGAGGTTGAATGTTGAATTAAGAATCAACATCACAGCCCTCGGGACACTCCCATAAGCGCTCCGTCCCCATCGTCAGCAGCAAGCGCAGAGTTAAAATTCTGATGGTACCAGTAACAGTCTGATTGTATATCCGTCTCGCCCCTCCCCCAAGTTTCGACCGTTGGTCAGATCGCCTTGTAACTTCTCGCAGTGCCATTTTCCTCAGACCGTAATGATCTATCTGTTCATATGCACTGTTTACTCGCTCCCAAAGGGCCCTCACAACATCCAGCTTGTCATACATCAGTTCACCACCAAGGCCAGTCTGTCCTCTTGCTCATTTCCCAACACACCGGCGTGACCTGGAGAAAATATCCAAACGATGCTAACTAACCGGGACCTCTGAAGTGATGCTTGCCACTCTGCACGGAGCATGCTTGTCTCCACCTTTTTCCGCATGCTCTGTTAATCAGTTACAATGACGACATGTGTGTACAGCTGATTCTCAAGCCAACGGAAGGCAGCAGTGACTGCCTCCACCTCCATTCTCAAACTAGACGTTGTGATATCATATGCTAGGCTTTGTTGCACCCAGCGACGTCCATTCGCCTTCGCTAAGAACCCCCATGCACTTCGTCTGCCCCTCAACACTGAGCCATCTGTATATACACTCATATCACTTGGGCGGGAATTGTCAGGAATCATTTGTTGAACTTCTGATATTGCAGCACCAGCTGGCCAGTCCCTGCACTTACGTCCCAAAGTGATTAGAACCCTACACAAGTCTGAAACATGTTAAGACACTTTGACCCACTCCCCTCCTCGCCTAAATTTATCAAGCCTGCACACATGTCCAATTGTGTCTTTAGCTTGCGCCATCCAAGACTTTCCTCTGTTCAATCTGTAACCCTTAGCTCTATCCAGGGCTTCATGCAGGGGTTGCCTCTTGTCCGCAGCTACTCTGAGATATGACTTTGCCTGCAGAACTTGGAACCTATCTGCAATAGAAGGCAGTGCAAGTATATATCGCATACATACTACCGGCGTATCTCTTGTCATCCCAGAATCACCCGCATGGCTTCATTCTGTATGCGTTCAAGTTTCATCAGCTGACTCTTTGATATGGTTAAGTATGCCAAGTCCACAATCTATGAAAGGTAAAGGTGAGAGGTAAAGGTGAAAGGTAAAGGTGAGAGGATCGACTTTATTGCAGTGGGTTTTACCTCATAGCTCGGTCTCTGTGTAGAACAGCTAGCTGCCTGCCAAGAGCGTCGCACAGAGCAGGTCGATCCCCAAGAAAAATTGCTATCGTTAGCTAAACGGCGCCGCTGTGAAACAAACCCACGACCTTCAGAGCGCGAGGCAAAAGGCTTTCAAGCCTCGCAGAAAAAAATAATTTAATTTATAAACAATTATTTCGTTAAAACAGGTCATCTTTTAAAAGAGCTTTCGTATGGTAGAGAACAAGAAAATAGCAGCGGAAGTGTCCCAAACGGCAAACGACTGGAAACAGCGCCGAGCAGGGAAGTGATAATTTTACTAATTTTACACTAAACAGACGTCTTGAACCACCATTGTTTAATTTCTGCTTGTCTGAAAGCTTACTCTTTAAGTCCAAACTCATCCTTAATTTTAAAGTATTTATTTCACAAGAAAACTGTTGCCGGCTGCTGTATTTGCTGTAGACATGTAATGTGTTCACTGTTGACTGCTGACATAAGAAAGTGAGAAAATGTCTGAGAAAAGACACACTGCTGTGTCACACAGACGAAGTCCGTACGAGCAAGGCGAGCTGAAGCCAAGCCCTGAGCGACATGTGAAGAGAAAGAAGAGCAAGAAAAGTAAGAAGTCACATCATTACCAGCTGCCTCCGGAGGCTAAGCCACATGTGAGATCAGCAGATGAGGATGATGATGTTCAGATTATGTACGTATTTGCCTAGTATTTGTTTTTTTTCTTTATTAATTACTTTTGCTTTGATTTTGATCACCTCTTCTAGAACCAGTCTGAAAAAAGTGAACTCTTTAACCCTACTAGAGAGCCCCTGAACCTAACTGTCCCTATAACCTGAGCTCCTGGGCTTTAACCCTACCAGACCTGAGGCCCTGAACCTAACTGTCCCTATAACCTGAGCTCCTGGGCACTAACACGAAAAAACCAACATGATGTACAAAAAAATTGGCTCTCCTCTGAACTTCTACCCCCGCAGTATTGCGGTCTGAAATGTCTGTTTGGGGCGCAGTCCAATTAAAAATACGGACTTGTCGGATTATCCGCCGAGGAACAAATTGCGGCAAAACTAGAAGCACCTTACAATGTCACGAGACGCAACATTGCAGACGATAAAATCAACCGGTGACAATGTTGAGCGTTTTCTGCAGAGGATACTAGCAGACGATAAAAGCGACCGTTGACAATTTCGAGACATTACAGACGATGAAAGCGATATGTAGCGATTTCGTTGTTATGGAATGTAAACAATTAAACCGGAAATGGATTTGCTTGGTAACCCAAGGGACTTCCTGTCCCTGAATTTTAAGGGTTTCCATACTAGTCACTATAAAAACCCGAGTTACTCAATACTGGCTGTTCAGAAACGAATCCGAACACGCGCGATACCTGTAGCAGATGTCAGACTGCTGAATAGCATGTGTTTTTAGAAAAGACGTTTACTCACTAAAAAGTATTTTGTAATTTGGATTAGGGCTAGTAAATTCTTTAATATCTTTTTTTTTAGGCTTTCCATAATCTCCATTGTGGTAATATTGAACTCTGCGTCCATTTTTACATACAGATGTAAAATTTCAGTTAAATATGTTCTTTAATAGTTTCAGAATTAAATTTTTTCTGCATCCAGTCTTGTAAAATTTAGTTGAATTAGTTAGGTTAAAACAAAATGGCGGACGGCGTGAATACAAAAGCGTGTCTGTTATATATTGACAATGCTTATAATAGGAGCAAATTAATGTTCAGATAATACAATTTTAAGTTGAAATAGTAATTTATCTTTGTATGTTTATTACTTTTTCTAAATTTTATTAGCTTACAAAATGATAATGATCAGTTTTCTGACACACCCTAATGGCTGAATAATTTCTTCAGATTTTTGCTTGGAAACTGAACACAGATTATTAATATTTTTTCTTTGAGGCTGTCCATCATCTCTATTGTGGTATCATTAAACTCAGCGTCCATTTTTACATCCAGGTGTAAAATTTCAGTTAGATATGTTCTTTAATAGTTTCAGAATTAAATTTTTTCTGCATCCAGTCTTGTAAAATTTAGTTGAATTAGTTAGGTTAAAACAAAATGGCGGACGGCGTGAATACAAAAACGTGTCTGTTATATATTGACAATGCTTATAATAGGAGCAAATTAATGTTCAGATAATGCAATTTTAAGTTAAAATAGTAATTTATCTTTGTAGTTTTATTACTTTTACTAAATTTAATTAGCTGAATATATTATTTTGATGATTTTCTGACACGCTAGAAAATGGCTAAATAATTTTTTCAGGTTTTTGCTTTGCAAATGAACAGACAGTGCACTCACTAATCAAACAAAATAATGAAATTCACTGAATGCCATCGTGCTAATGTTGTATTTTTTTTAATCTACAACCTTTTTAACTTTTTCTAATGCATAAATTATAATTTAATATGAGTAATTGTTTTTTGTATGTATTTTTTATCTTTTGACCCTCACATACAGAATTTCACGCAACATGCCTGGACTTCTTGATATTGCGTATAATTATAACAATCATAACTATTTTATATTTTATTAATTTTTTATATAAATAAAATAATAATATTACAAAAACTATTTCATTATAATATAATATTTAATATATGTATATAAATATTTATAATATTATTAGTCTTTTATTTAACATTGTTTCTGTTTAACTTGATTTTTAGATTTTGATCGAGCAGTCACAATGACAGTGGCAAAAAGGACAGCAGCATATCTTAGATCACATCTGTCAGTCTTTGAGATAATATTTACTGGCCAGCAAAAAGATCACATGAGTCATAGATACGCTAATAAAGTGTCGGGTATGAGTGAATACTTTAGATTATTTTGAAAAAGTAAATAAAGTATTAAGTAGCGACTGGTTAAGAAGAGGGGGACACTGTGGTGAAATGCGCTCATCATCAATGAAATGAAAGAATAACTCGCAAAGACTGAAAAAAGGATTATGTTAAACCAGTAAGAAGGGTGCATATTTTCACTTCGTTATCAAACAATATGGGGGTCTCCGTAGCAAAGTGGTCAAGCCGTTAACCTCGCGCTTGGAAGGTTACGGTGTGTCCATTTTACAACTGCATTGTTCGACTCAAAAATGACATTATTTTGGGTTAGCGGGGACCTCTGAGGACTGTTGCTGGAGCTACGGTATTCAGGCTTCGTGCTAAGCTCTCGGCATGCGACTAACCATTCACGGTTATGTGAAGAAAGACCAAGCCATATGAAACCAGTAACGATGCAATGACGTCAATCCGCTCGCTATCAAACATTTTTTAACAGTGGAGTAATAAAGCAAAGCCAATTTCGGCCAGATGTGCACACACACACACACACACACACACACAAAAGTGACAGTGCAAGAAAAAGCATTTTTTAACAAATAGAAAGAGATACATCATAACACAGAGAATCGTTACAAAAGTATGCATATTACAGTATACGTTTTGCAAGACTAACTGGATAATAATAATTCATAAGGTATTTAATTAATAATACTGATAATTTGACCCATTTTTCTTTGTTAATTAGATTTGCATTACATTATATTTTTTAAAAACCAACAACTTTAGTTAGAGCTTGCTGCCCTGAATGCAATGATATATGGTTGCTAAGGGGTTCAGCAAAAAACATAAGACGTGTAGACATAAAACATACAAATTTTGTCACTTTAAGTCCAGTTTTCACTTGGGAACAGGCCGCCATCTTGTTTCTGTTTTTTCCATTATAATTTTTGGGAGCACTTTCCGTCACTAAAATGTGAATATCTCCGCTTAGAACTGACATACAGACTTCATTGAGGTACCGTTGAACTCTGTTTTTTAACCTCTAAGCAGCTATCATGGTTTAAAAGCAAAAGGCCCAAAAAATAAATTTTGACTAAACACCCTACGATATGGCGGGTAGACCACACGCTCCCACGCAGATTAGCAATACTGTTCTTCCAATTAAGGATTTAGCAGCGGTAGATGTCAGACTTGTCGGTATGCGCAAAACGCGATTAAACTCACCACCGAGCGTAGCTCCTGCGCTGCTATGCGCAGCACGGATGGGGGCTAAACTAGGTGCCTGGGACTCAAGAGCAAAGTAATTGGAGGAAGTTGCAGGAGATGCAGTAGCTGCCGCTCGTGAGTCCCAGCCATCTAGTTTCGCCCCTATCCGCGCCGCGGGTAGCGGCACGGGGGATACGGTCAGCGGTGAGCCATAGTCACAGTAACAGGTCCGCAAGTAACATATCGCTGAGACCCTGTTAGAGCATTTGTTTTGTTCGACAATGGAAAATGTCAACGGTCGCTATTATCGTTGTATGCTACTATCGTCTGCAGTGTTGCGTGCGTCTCTTAGAATTGTCAGGTAATCAGAAACAGTAAGAAACAGGTCCGGAAGTAACATATCGCTGAGACCCTTTTAGAGCATTTGTTTCGTTATACGGAGCTGGCATATTTTTAATCGGACTGGGCCCCGAAAGGATATTTCAGGCCGCAATACTGCAGGTTTAGAAGTTCGGAGGAGAGCCAAAAAATTAGTTACATGCAAACAAGTGATTAGAATAAGATAAAACTTGGAGACATTGTAGAAAATAGGTTTACCTTTCATCTAGCGCCAATCTTGCAACTTTGTGTGCCAATCCACCTAGTAGGATCAGTCTAGTTTCACAAAGTAAGCACCAGATGGTGCTGTTTGAGGAATACGCCCCCTTCTCTTACTATCGATCTAGTTTAAAATCTATAATTTTCATAATTCTCCTCCTCACTCTAGCTCACTGACTGTCACTTCAACTGGGAATGTATTCTTCATGAACGTATTCACAGTCTGAATTAACCAAAGTATCGATCACCTGTTGGACTGTGAAAAGCCTAGACTTTTTTGTGGAAGCCGCTCGTTTCATTGAGAATGTTCCAAATTGTTTTCACCACAGACCACACAAAGAAATCTCAACACACGTGGGAAGTCATTTGCAATGACAAACAACGAAGTCTGATGGCGATTGGCTGGTTATTTTTAGTCTGTAGCGCATATTTTTCACGTACTACGTAAATTTCCTGGAAAATGGGGCCAGCGGTATGGCGGTAGGTTAGGAAATTCCCGGAAAATCGGGCCAGATGTCTGGTAGGGTTAAGGGGGTATGGAGATATATTCTACGCAGGTATGAAGATAAACCAATCCTCAACTTTCTACAGTCAATAATTAGTTGGTATGATGAGTTATTACAGCACCATGTTTTCTAGAGCTCCTTCACTTTGCAGAAGTCATCAGTGGCTATGGGGTGCTCAGTCTTGTGGCTTGCTTCCTTCAGTTGACCATCATTTTGGTCACATCCCCCATCAGTTCTCAAGCTGATTCCTATAATTTTTGGGGGCCGACAGGGAGCACACAGGAAACAATGGGACTGTCAGGGTGAAAACTTAACGTATCGTTAGCCTGGTTTGGTAAGAATGGTCTTGGTCTGATCCGAGCATACAAAACCGAACGAAAAGAAGAAGATTGATAGCTAGGGCCAAGACCATTGAATTCATTACTAATGATGATTACAGCTATAGCACTGTATACACTGAGATAGAATAGGTTGTTTTGCATTCCAGAGAAGCTGTTGACCATGGAGAAGAGGAAGGGGGGAGTCTGACGATAAAGCCACCTCAGATGCAAGCCCTGAAACACAAGGACAAGCACAAACACAAGAAAGACAAGCATCGATCACACGAGCACAGCGCCTCCAGAGAAAGAGTACAGGTGGACAGTAAGTGATCATGAAGAAGAAGAACCATATGCTAGGGTTGACAAATTAGTAACAATAACTGTAGCTGGTTTTACTGCCCTGTCCTAATTCCTGGGAAAGGAAACTTATCTCTGGATACTGTCTTCTATTCAGACTGAACCATATGATGATACAAAGTGGCACAGGTCAAGGCGTACATGGGAGAATCGGCAGTCGTTAACCACCCAATGCACAAAGCTCTACACGACACAAAGGGAAGGTGTCTCAAAAAAGGCCACTCTTGGATGGCAAAGGCTGGGGATTTAATCCAGCAGGTATGTGACCTAGACGTGATCAGTCACGGAAAAAAATGGACGAATACACCAGCAGACATGAATGGCATCACACTCAGAAAGTACTGCAGGGATCAAATTCCTGCGGCCGTAGACACAAAAGTAAGGGAACTGATAGATCAGCATTCAGACCCAGAAGATTTTTTTTATCAGACTCCATGAATATGCTTCAGAAGATAGCAACAGGCGGTGTGCGCTCTGAATGGGTAGAAAGCATTCGAAAATCGCACTTAACCCCAGTAACCTGAATCTACACACCGGGTCATGTGGGCGTAAAGGAAAATTAGCCAGCGGACCAACTGGCAAGCACTGCACTAAGGATTGCGGGAGAAAGAATGGACAGAGCAGATATCGTCAACGCTGTACGGACTGGGCTAGTGGATAATGAGGAATCCCTGACACTTGCATGATTGCGTGACATGGGAGTAAAGCATGGTCAAGCATGTCTTTGCCGTCTTCGAGGCCTAGATAGAAGACAATATAACCAGCTTCTCATGGAAACAATTAGTAGAAGTACTTTGGAGTGGCTGCTGCTTCGGAGAACTGAGCATGCATGGGTATGCCCAATGTGCAGTGACATCAATTATGATAACAAAACATAAAATAACATCTTGTAGGGAATCGGCAGTCCGAAACCCAAGTTCAGGGTGTCTCCTTCGTGCCAAAGAACTGCATGGCTGTTGGGTGAACAGTGGTTAACGAAGGCAGTCTAGATGTTGTAGGGTCTCCCTTCCCCAAATAATAGTGAGGGTACTGTTGGGGTGACTATTAACCCTCACATAATGCTTCAGGTCAAAATGGACTCTAAAAATGGCCACTTTTTTTTAGCTGTATCAAATTTTTTTGGTGGACGTTTCATTTTTGCTCCATTTGTAGACTGGAAGGATGCAGTTTTGTTGTCTAGCTTCTGAGTTGAGTGCATGGCATGACACTGTGAGCTGCGGATTTCATTTGGAATGTTTTTCAACTGACCAACATGATGGTGTGAATTTTAGATTCAGAAAATGGCACAGTGCCGGTTGTCACAGTATTGGTAGTGCTATTATGTGGTTAAAATTTATCACGTGTGCAACTGCTGATCTGTTGGTGACTTCTGCTAGTCACTAGTGCTACCATCCATGATGAACTGAATTTCTAATGTCGGACTGTTTGTGTTAGCACTTCGGATGGCTACCGTGTGCTATAAATGCGTGTGTATGCTAGTGCATATGCTGAGACAGCAGTCTGTCAATATTTCCACAAGGGAATGTGATAAACATTTTGTGTGTTTTTCATTGGTACAGGAGAAGAGCAAATGTGGGGTGACACGTTTGCTATGAAGCTGAAACTAAGATCACCAGATTCAAACTGAACTTCTAGAGAAACAAACACACACTCAAGACTGAACCTGTTTAGAGCAAGTGGACCTAGCACAAATGCATTTCAAAGCCAGGTTGTGTTTGTATGTGTGTGATGCACACATCGTTAAATGAAGAATGAACAAAATTATCCTTTAACATTTCCGAAATGTGTTGCTACCATGTTCAGGAAGGTGAGAGGACCAGCACCTGAAGACGAACATCATTGTTATAGTCTACGTAAGGACAGGTTTGTCCCACCAGATACATGTTGTCAGGACCAATTCACTCTCACCAGTTTAGCTTGAACCATGTTTGCTTGACAGTTAGTTTGATAGTGTTTTTTTTTTTGTTGTTGATGGTTTGGGTGTGTTATTTGATTGTTTGACACTGTTTTTTTTAAATTGTTTGGCTGTTTTTTTAATTGTTTTACAGAACTAGCTGGTCACCGGGAGAGAAGGAAGGCTGCTTACCCAGATTTGAGAGATGCCAGAGAAATAGTCAAAGAAAGGAAAAAGCAAAGAGAACGTAAGGAGAAAGAAATTCAGAAAGAGATAAGAGACAGAGAGGCACGCAAAAGAGAAGAATCTATCAAAGAAAGGTAAGTGTTGTTGCTTTTGTGTTTGAGCTGCAAGATGATAGTGTGTAAAAATGTAAATATGGTCTGTGGCACAGCATCTGTTTTCTCTGAGAGACTTGCACAAACTGCTCATTGTACATTTCTACCCTCCCCGCCGCCTTTTTTTTTGACAGTTGACATAAAGAACGAAAAAAATTTCAAGGGTAATTTGAAAAACATGCTTTATATTGAGTAGAGTTATTGAAAAGAATGTTCTCTGTTACACCAGGGAGCGGCTAGAGAAGATGGAGCTAGAACGACGTAGGGATGTTATGATGAGGGAACAACGCATCAAAGAGAAGCCTCGCCAGGACAAGCGCAAAGAAGACAGGCGACCTATGCCAGGTATGGGTTACTAGTTTGTTTTCCCAATCAGGTTTTCACAGTTTGATTTGCTAGATAGAAAAAAGAAGTGAGTGGTGGATGGCCAAGTCCAGCTGTTGCATGGTGCTTGTCTGGATGAGCAGACTCTAGTGTGATTGTTTCATGCCTTGAGATGGAGTCTAGGCCCTACTTTCATGGACCAGTGAGTGCTCTGGGTGTTTGATGCCTTGAGATGGAGTCTAGGCCCTACTTTCATGGACCAGTGAGTGCTCTGGGTGTTTGATGCCTTGAGATGGAGTCTAGGCCCTACTTTCATGGACCAGTGAGTGCTCTGGGTGTTGCTTTCTATCATGCTAGCTGTATTTTCCCCCAGACCATTCATCACCATCCTCCTGTGTGCACATAGGGCTCACAGTCTGTTCCTGCATTTTATTTAGTCCTGTGCGATCCTTGCCATATGCTGGACAGTAAATTACCCATCAGTTTTAACCTCTCACCTGCCTTCATTGAGTTTCTCTTGGACGTTCTTGTTTCCTCATTCCATTGTTTCCCATTGTAGAGTATCTCTTGGACGTTCTTGTTTCCTCAGTCCATTGTGTCTCTTGGACGTTCTTGTTTCCTCAGTCCATTGTTTCCCATTGTAGAGTCTCTCTTGGACGTTCTTGTTTCCTCAGTTTATTGTTTCCCATTGTAGAGCCTGTTGGGATATTCTTTGATTGCTTGCTATACAGCACTTTTTGTTTTCTTGAAAACCAATGATATAAGATGTTGTCCAGAATTTTCTCATATTTCTTACTTTTTGTTTTTGCCTCCGAAATATTTGTTTTCTCAGGCATTTTTTTTCACCATTCTTTCCATGTCTTTGGAGGTTCAACTTTCAATAGAATATGTCAAAAAAAAAAAAAGAGAATTCAATTAAAAAAATGTAATCTAGTTTTGAAATAATATAAATCCATATTTTATACATTGTTTCAGTTCTTGATTGAAACATATTTTACAAACTATACACATCTGGCTTTCTCAGAAAACAGAAGAGAACTGGAAAAGACCAGAAGTGAAGACAGGCATTCTGATGAGGAAGGTCTTCGCAGTCGTAGTCGAGAGTATGACAAGACAAAGGACAAGACACGTCACTTTCCTCCACCTCCCAGGCTTCAGGAAGATAAAGGTGAGTACAGCTGAAAGGGTCTAGTTGTTATATAAACATGGCAGTTATTGAGCCTGCAGATGTCAGTTATTTGTGTTTGTTTTGTCTGTCATCACATTTGTTGCAAGTGCTTCGGTTACCCACACAGTTATCTCTGCAGGTGCTTCAGTTACCCAAACAGATCACACAGGAGAATGCCAAGAAGGTCAGATCAAGCAGATCAAGATCCAAATATATTTACACAAAAATCAGTCCATAAGTTGTGTTGTCAGGACTTGAACTGGACCCATCTCTCATCACAGGACAAACTTTGATTCAGGTTCCCACTTCACTGCAGACAGGTGTCTTCGTTCCTGTGCCAGTGGAAATGACACAAATTGTCCTTTACTGTCCCATTTGTAAACTAGTGAAAACTAGTAGTCCCACACCAGAATTGCAGCTTGCTGTTGATGCAAGAAGTCGGTCATGAAAGCCATCATGTACACAGAGTCGTCGTGGGCACAATGAAAAAACAGCACATCTCGTATGAAATCCACGGCTCACAGTGTTGCACCAGGCATTCAGCTCAGTAGCCGGGCCATGGAATCTTTGGATTCCTGATCTGGAAATGGGGAATTTGCATCAGCAAATTCCCTAGCTAGGTAACAAAAACCTTTTCCTAATCCAGCGATATGCTGGGGATCTGCTGTGTTGTGCCGGAACGATACTGCTTGTTATTAATTGTTTAATAGGGCCCAGTAGCTTTTGCCCAGTGCCATGTAGTGAAATTTGCATGTTTTCACAAGCTGTTCTTTTCCTCCATACAGTGTGTTCCACTTGTCTGGTCTCAGGGGGATTAGCATTATTCTAGTCTCGCTGAGTTTTGGGCACTCACGGAGATGATGATCAACAGTTTGTAGAGGTAGTTACATAGTACGGCTGTCTGGGAAGTGTTGGGGCTGTATTCTGTTTAGATGTGCACTAAGTGGAGTATGTTGTGTTCTAAGTCTGAAGATGGTGGCCTGGTTCTACTTGTTAGATGGTTAATGTTGTCGTTAGGGTCAGGGCTAGCTCTCTTCCAGTATCTCCCATGGCCCATCTGTTCAGCTAAGTCTCTTTGTTTATAGCTCTTATAAGTGTTTTTGCTGTCTGTAAGGTTGTCGCTGTAGGTGGTTGTTCTTGTGTTGCTCCTTTCTTTGCTAATCTGTCAGCTCTGTCATTACCTGGTGTGCCGGAGTGACCTGGAATCCACTGCAACACTATTCTGACGTTGTATGAGGTAATAAGCTGATCAGCATCCAGGATTATCTGGGCTATGTCTGTCTGCAGCGTTCACTGCCATCCAGAGCTTGAAGAACAGACATTGAATCTGTGAAGATGACAATATTTTGGGCCTTTGAAAGACATTTATTAAAGTCTTTAGGTGGTATACTGCTGTTTTCATTGTAATTATTTTGGCTTCTTATTTGAGCAGAATTCTCCGCATGCATCAAAAATCTCTTCAACAGATCCATTAGGATAACCTATGTAGATTCCGTAACCTGTTTTAATGGTAGCTTTGACTGCAGATCCATCAGTATAAACATGTTTCCATTTTTCGGGGTAAGGAATAATGGTATTTAGCAATGAGTTTATAAGGGTGATTGGGTTGGACTATTTGGTTTTTTTCGTCCACCAATTTCATTGGAACTTGTGGAGCTTTAAAGCAAGCATGTAATAGTAGGCTTCTTGCAACATTCTGTATTTCATATACACAGGGTAAAACTGATTTCTGTTATATTCTTTGCAAATAGTGATGAAACAAGATGTTTAACTGCTAGACAAGGAACTGTTGTCATGTGAGAGGTGCGGCACCTTATATCTCAGAGGAAAGGCAAGACAGACATATAATCAGACTGCATGCTGACACCATTGGTATTGGATTTCTAAGTTGGCTGCGGAAGATGGGGATGCAGTGCTTATGGGAAAAACTCCCAGTGCAGTGATCTCAGTTCTTGCATCAAATCAAATCTCTCCTGTACACTGTTGATTGTGTGTTTGTGGTTGGATGTGTTCTGTGTTTACAATTAGGTTGTGTTGTTTCTAATTCACCAATAATTGTCATCAGGCTTAAAAAGGGAGCTCACCAAAAGTCAGTCATCGTCGTCAGTTACAAAATCCTCAAGGAAGATTGCTGAGGAGAAGCATTCTGAAGGAGAGCAAGACACGCGCATGGTTGTAGTCGACGGAAGCCCAGGTCAGTTGCCGCCTGTCACTGTCTCATCCATGTTTGTAGATTTGAACGTTTAACCTCGATGTCGTACTAGAGCAGACGATAAACAGTAATGTCTGTAGTATAGTACTTGCTTTTATTTCTGTCAAGTTGTCCAAAACCACTTTTGATTCATTTATTTTGGACCACTGGACTCCAGAGCAAATGATTCAAGAATGCCCATACTTTGTCTGTGGCCTACATGAGTGAGGCTTCAAAAGAAAATATTGGGAACAGTTTAGGATCTCAGGCACAGCAGCCTCATGTGAGGAATCGACACCACCCCCCCCCCCCCCCCCCCCCCCCCAATCATCCAGTAAACAGTTGTTTGTTGTCAGTCATGAGAATCCGTGTACCTTGTTATATCTATGAGCTTGCTCACAGCGGATTCTTGTGCATCTGGCCCAGACAAAAGAAAGCTCAACATATAATCACTAGGTCATGGGAGTTAGTAATCTATAAGATTGAACAGAGCAAAACTTGATAGGTTAAGTTGAGATCTTGTTTCCTCTGGGAAGAACAAAAGCAAGTGAGCTCAGATTCCAGTCAAGAATAAAGGATAGTCAATGATTCTTCCTCTCTTTCTCCAGCTGCCTCTGGAAGTGTTGGGCTAAATAGAAGGGTCTTCTGTATGTTTGTTCTAATATGTTGCCTATGTTAGTCTTTATTTCTGGAAAAGACATGATTAATGCCCTTGTTACGCCTGTTGCAGTCTTTTCCTAGCTGTGTTCTTTGTATCTGATTTAAGGTGATCTATGCAAACAAGGGGCTACAAAGTCCTATCTTAGTTTCAGAGATGTGTCAGTGTATTTTCTGTGGTTAGGAAAATCTCTTCCCTTTGCTACTGCTGACTGTTCATTTTTGCTTGAATCCCTTCACAGCTGCCATTCTCGCTGTCTACATCCCTTGAGAGCTGTCATTCTTGCTATCCACCACTCCAAGAACTGTCATTCTTGCTGTCCATATATCTTGAGAGCTGTCTTTCTTGCTATCCACCACTCCAAGAACTGTCATTCTTGCTGTCCATATATCTTGAGAGCTGTCTTTCTTGCTGTCCACCACTTCAAGAACTAATTCTTCCTGTCCACATCCCCCGAGAGCTGTCATTCTTGCTGTCCACATCCCCCGAGAGCTGTCATTCTTGCTGTCCACATGCCCTGAGAGCTGTCATTCTTGCTGTCCACATCCCTTTAGAGCTGCAGTTCTTGCTGTCCACATCTCTTGAGAGCTGTCATTCTTGCTGTCCACATCCCCTGAGAGCTGTCATTCTTGCTGTCCACATCCCTTTAGAGCTGCAGTTCTTGCTGTCCACATTTCTTGAGAGCTGTTGTTCTTGCTGTCCACATCTCTTGAGAACTGTCATTCTTTCTGTCCACATACTTTTAAAGCTGTTGTTCTTGCTGTCCACATTTCTTGAGAGCTGTTGTTCTTGCTGTCCACATCTTGTGAGTACTGTCTTTGCTGTCACCGTCCCTTGAGAACTGCCTTTCCTGCTGTCCACATCCCTTGAGATCTGCCATTCTTGTTGCTAGTGATAAACTAATCTCCCTCTGCAGACCTAAAGCCAAATGTCAAGGAGCTAGAGAGTTCTTCCAAGAAAATCGAAAGCTCATCGGAGGTAAAGAATGAAGTCAATGAGGATGAGGAAGAAGAAGATGATGATGACGATGAAGAAGATGACAGTGATGACTCTGATTCTGACAGTGATGATTCCAGCTCGGGTAGGTTGTTTGGTGTAACTATCTTGTCAGATGGTAGTTCTGACTTGTTTTTTGATCGTGCATTTGAAAAGATTAGGTTGAAATGGCTGAAGGGTAAAAATGGAAGTTGCAGTTGCTGCAACTGCATAAAAACCATACTGGAAGGAACAATTCAGGCAAATGGTAAATGATGATGTACTATTAGAGGTAAGTACTTTGAGGTGACTCCTTGGCTGTTACTTTTTGATCAGTTATTTGCATGCTTCTTATCCCTCTGTATTGTCTGCTCCGGTCAGTCACACTTCTTTCTGACCTTATCTTATAGGACTTCCCTCTGTATTGTCTGTTCCGGTCAGTCACACTTCTTTCTGACCTCATCTGATAGGATATGCCAGGGCAGTGGTTCTCAAATGGCAAAAACCTAGAATTTTTCAAAAATCTGCTTGAGATAGCGAAGACAGCAGTTTCAAACAGAAATACCATAAAGGAACCCAAGAAGATCTCTGGTTGCAGGTGTATTCAGAAAACAATGCTATTGGCAAGGTTACAGTGCATTCTCAACATACGCTTAAAATAAGGAGAAAAAAACCAGATACAGGAGCAACCTTCAAGTGATTGAAGGTAGAATTAACTAAACTTACCATAAACATGAAGGAAATTTTGAAAAAAGTTTCAATTATCGCATTAAAGACATTACATTTTCTTTCCTTTGTAAGTATTTAAAACACTTTAAGAGTAGTTGCGCCGTCATTTTTTTTTTTGACTGACGGGTGTCGGAACAAAAAATAGTTTAAGAAATGCTGCTCTAAGGTAAGTGAACAAACGCGTCGATTGGCGTGCTGGCAGGGTCACAGTAAATACAGGAAAAGCAATGGGCCAGGTCGACATTCTCAATGCTCTCAAGGAGGCAGCACAAAAAGATTATTCAGGAAACGACGCTGAATCGGCAACACTTAAAAGACTGCAAGAACTCTAGATCAAAAGATGTGTTGCCAAACATGAACACTATACAGGTAGCCAATGAAGAATAGTAAACCAAGACGGAACTGGTGTTGTCAGTCACCTTACGCTAAGGGATTTACTGAAGATGAGATCGGAGCATAGATGGACTTGTCCGATGTGCAATGGAGATAACCTGTCAATTAACTAACTTCTTTCTTGGCTGAACATATTTTTGGGTTGTATAGATGACACCAATATATTATTTGGTTTAATTCTATCTCACAGTTCCATTTCATGGATTTGAATTAGAAGAGTGCTGAAGACACAAACTACAGATGGCACAATTAACTATCTGGATTAACAAGATTTAGCCAAAATTTGTGAAAAACTGACTGGCTTTTTGTATCACTGACAGCTGACAAGAATCATTAATACTGGCGACTGAAAAATGTTTTATGTGTGTGAATATATTATGTGAGTGTGAATATATCATTGGAGGAGTCACATGACTTTCATCATTACCTGAATAACTTTCTGTGACACTGCTTTTTGCTTTTTTATTTTCTAGATGATAGTAGCAGTGGAGAGGAGAGCAGTGAAGAGGAGGATAACAGGGAAGACACTAGTGGGAAAGAGGCAAATACATCAAAGGAAGATGGCAAAGAGGATGAACAAAAGTTAACAGGTTGGTATGGCTAATAGACACAGTGAAATGTCATCTTGCTTCTACATCTTTTACAAATTGCTGTATAACTGTAATGATGTACTTTATGGCTTTACATCTAGTTGGCATAACTGTGTGTAAGAGGTAGGTTTGAGAAGGCCACAGGATGGACGAACAGGATGATTTTATGGCATGGGAAAATAGGGGCGATGTTTTGGGAATTGAACGGATGATTAGAAGTGTGAGAGTGCTCAGAATCATTCTGTGTTTGACGAATAGACAAGTTGCAAGTATAGCTATGAGTATGTGTGTGTCAGTTGCAAGTATAGCTATGAGTATGTGTGTGTCAGTTGCAAGTATAGCTATGAGTATGTGTGTGTCAGTTGCAAGTATAGCTATGAGTATGTATGTGTCAGTTGCAAGTATAGCTATGAGTATGTGTGTGTCAGTTGCAAGTATAGCTATGAGTATGTGTGTGTCAGTTGCAAGTATAGCTATGAGTATGTGTGTGTCAGTTGCAAGTATAGCTATGAGTATGTGTGTGTCAGTTGCAAGTATAGCTATGAGTATGTGTGTGTCAGTTGCAAGTATAGCTATGAGTATGTGTGTGTCAGTTGCAAGTATAGCTATGAGTATGTGTGTGTCAGTTGCAAGTATAGCTATGAGTGTCGGCAAGTTTGAACCTACCAAGCAGCCTACAGCTAAATGGTTCTGGCCATCTAATCAATAACAAAATAGCAGTGAATCCAGTTTGGAATGTAATCAATAAATGAATGTTGACACTAAAGGGGAACATCTGTTGACAGAAGACTATATGTTGTAAGTAGTTATACCAGTGTTGATATTTGAAGACAAGTGGAAAGCCTGTTTTCAGCCCCAGACATAATAGCAACATCTGGTGCACATCTTGGTACAGCCGGTAAAACATTGCACATTTGTGTGTTCTGCCTGTGTGTTGTGGACTTGAGTGTGTGTTGTCACTGCTCTTGTCATCCAATGGGAAATTAGAGATCCCAGTAAGTTAGTAATGTAACTATCTCAGCTCAAGGGAGCTCATTACAAGTAATGGACTTGTCTGGGAAGTTACAGAAAGTAACAGATTCTCTGAAATAGCTAGAGGCATTGCACCTTCAAGCTGATGGTTTAGACTACTGACCACTCCATGATGTTGTCTGTTTACAAACTGACTTTGCTACTCGAGGATCATCTGCCTCTCTACTTTCTAAGTGAGGGGCGTTGCTGGATGGTTTTCACATCTGGGACATATCTTGTTTTTGCTCAGGATATTGGGGTGTCTGGAGTAATGAGTAGGGTGATTGATTAGCTGCTACCCATGCTGATGATTCGCTGTTAGGTGAGCAGTCTGAATATGTGTCCTCTTATGTGAAATAACAGACAGACTTTTATTCAGGTAACAATGGACACTACTGTCTGGGGAAAAGGATAGAGGGGCTGTTATAATTGGTATTTTAATGAGTGGCTCTGATATTTCAGGTTTTGTTTTTGTAGATATAATTGCATGTAAGTCAGTGTCTGTGGCTTAGAAACATGATAGTAATGTCGGGGTGCCAGGTTCGATCCCACTTGTGGATGATCTGTCGTGCTTTGGTTGCAGCAGTGGTACAGAGAGCTGACAGTTTAGAAAGCAACGGCAAACTACTGAACGTAAAATTTGCCTAGAAAAACCACAGCAACCACAAATGCTATGGTTGGTTCTGCAACGTCCTGTGAAGGATACGCAACAAAATTGAAAGAACTTCAAGATGCAAATAAAGGGAATCGTTACTTGGTGATGTCAATCATTGCTTTGTTTCCTCTTGTATCTTTGATATTGAAGGGAAGTACAATCAGTGGTAGAATGTCCTTTGTCTGTTTACACAATCAACTTCTCTTTTTATGTTCTCGTGTTCTGTACATTACTGCTCATTGAAGTATACTGACTTAATATTGTGTGTAAGGTACATTTCGAAGCTGTACAGAATAACATACTTTAAATGTTCACTGAAGCAGCTGTCGCACTTTGCCGCTTGTTGTTTCAGCCAAAGTCAGGTCCAAGTTTGATGACCACTCTGATGCTGAGAGTTTGGGAAAGATGTCCAAGGGAAGCAATTCTGATAACTACTTGCCTGAGTCTCCAGAGTTGTCTGATGTTGATTTGAAACCAGAAGACTCTCTTCCCTTGTACCTGCCAGCTATACAGGTAATGTTGACAGATATCTGTCTGTGTTTACATGACCTTCGGCAGGTTAAAGTCACTGCTGTTTAACCCACCTGTCTCTAACTACAGTATAAACCCACCTGACTCTAACTACAGTATAAACCCACCTGTCTCTAACTACAGTATAAACCCACCTGTCTCTAACTATAGTATAAACCCACCTGTCTCTAAATAAGTATAAACCCACCTGTCCCTGACCACAGTATAAACTCACCTGTCTCTAACTACAGTATAAACACACCTGTCTCTAACTACAGTATAAACCTACCTGTCTCTAACTACAGTATAAACACACCTGTCTCTAACTACAGTATAAACCCACCTGTCTCTTAGAATCCTAGCTGGGTTGTGAATGTGCTTGGTGACCTACTGGCATCAATGTACTAGAATCCTAGCTGGGTTGTGCAAGTAGAAAGCCAGGACTTAAGATTGGACAGAAACTAAGAGCACCTTAGTCTGATACCACCTGTTCACAAACCAGGTTCCCAAGCTAATGCTGGCTGGATCGCCAGAGGCTGGTGGAGCACACTGCTGTTGTTGATACCCTTAGTTTGTGAGCTTTGAAAGGGTCAGTAGAGTTCTGCAACCGCTCTGTAAAGACTGTACTTGCATTGAAGTAGACACATTAGCAGTGCAGATTTGCGCAGGTGTATAGTTTTTGTGTGTGTGAGAATCACTTGTATTTGTATTGTAAACTGGTCACTAATTTTATATTCATAACTGGTATCGTCTGGTTATCTGTAGGGCTGCCGCAGCGTTGAAGAGTTCAACTGTTTGAATCGGATAGAAGAAGGAACGTATGGAGTGGTATACAGGGCCCTGGACAAGAAGACAAATGAAATTGTGGCATTGAAACGCTTGAAGATGGAGAAGGAGAAAGAGGGATTCCCCATTACATCGCTGAGGGAGATTAATACATTGTTGAAAGCACAGCATGAAAATATTGTCACTGTCAGGGTAAGTGTGATGATTAGCCAGTACTGTCACTGACAAGGAGTGTGTCATTTGTTGGTTAGTGATGTCACTGCCAGGGGTATGTGTTTTTACTGTCACCACTGAAGTGCATGTTATTACGTGTCACTGTCAGGGTAAGTGTGATGATTAGCCAGTACTGTCACTGACAAGGAGTGTGTCATTTGTTGGTTAGTGATGTCACTGCCAGGGGTATGTGTTTTTACTGTCACCACTGAAGTGTATGTTATTACCTGTCACTGTCAGGGTAAGTGTGATGATTAGCCAGTACTGTCACTGACAAGGAGTGTGTCATTTGTTGGTTAGTGATGTCACTGCCAGGGGTATGTGTTTTTACTGTCACCACTGAAGTGCATGTTATTACGTGTCACTGTCAGGCCATGTATTATGGTTGACCCGTACTGACATGTCCCCTGTATGGATTTTTTCTTAAAGACTTCCGTGAATATTAAAGTATTATCATTTTTATTTTGATAGTCTCTGTGGGGGTTGTGTTAGTCTGGCGCACTCAAAATATGTGTGTTAGTACTGTTTGCTGTCATATTGTGTGTGTGATTGCGTAGTGCTGTAACTATTAGTAGGTATGTGTTTGTACTGTCACTATCAGTAGGTATATATTCATATTGTGACTGTTAGTAGATATGTGTTCGTACTGTCACTGTCCATCGATATGTGTTTGTTTTGTCACTATCAACAGGTGTGTGTTCGTACTGTCACTGTCAGTAGATATATGTTCATACTGTCACTGTCAGTAGGTGCATGTTCGTACTGTCAATGTCAGTATATATTCACACTATATCAGCACCTGATCCTGTCAGTGGTGGATTATGGCCTGGGACTGCTTACCGTCTCAAAGAGTCAGATGGACAAACTAGAGCGCATACAGAATGCGGCTATGCGGGTCATTCTAAGTTGCACCATAGACACCCCAGTGGTGTGTATGCGATACATCCTTGGTTTGCCGACGGTTGCAGGTAGGCACAAGGTGCTGCAGGCGAAGTCATATCTCAGGGTAGCTGCAGACACAGACCACCCTCTACATGACGCTCTGGGTGCAGTTAAGGGTCAGCGGCTGATAAGAGGAAGGTCATGGATGGCTCAGGCAGAAGACACAATTAGACAGGTTTGCATCTTTGAGAACATTAGGCGAGGAGAGGAGCGGGTCAAAGTGTCACCTGAGCAGTCAGACTTGTGTAGAGTCATAATCACGCTGAGCCAGGAATGCAGAGACTGACCTGCAGGTGCCACAGAGGTGGAAATTCAGCAGTTAATTCAAGATGATGCTCGCTCGGAGAACTTGATCATTAACACAGACGGTTCAGTGTCAAGAGGCAAAAGAAGTGCTTGGGGCATTTTAGCAAAAGTTAATGGTCGACGTTTGGTGCAGAAGAGCCTAGCATATGATACCACAACATCCAGCTTAAGAATGGAGGTGGAGGCGGTCACTGCAGCTTTCCGCTGGCTAGAGAACACGACACACACACACACACATTGTGATTGTAACTGATTCAGAAAGCGTGCTGAGGAAGATCAGAACAGGTATGCTTCGTGCAGAGTGGCATGCTTTGCTGCGGAGGACACGAGTGAGGAGTATTGTCTGGATTTTTTCACCGGCCCGCCAGTGTGTTGGGAAATGAACAGGCGGACAGACTGGCTGGCTCTGCACAACTTGGTGGAATACTGCTACATGATAGGGCAGACGTGGTTAGTGCCTTGTGGGAGAGCGTGTACAATGTGGAGGAGCAGATGGATCACCAGTCTGGTGAGATTGATGCAGTTGGGGGTGACGAGAGGTTCTGGCAGAAGCTCAAGGCTCAGAGGAAAGGCAAGAGGGACGTTTAATCAGAAAGCTACTGGCACCATTAGTATCCGAACTCTTCGCTGGCTGCTGAAGATGGAGACAGAGCACTTATGGGAATGCCCTGAGTGCTGTGATGTCGGTTCTTGAATCAAATCAAATGTCAATGTCAGTAGGTATGTGTTCGTACTGTCACTATCAGTAGGCATATGTTTGTACTGTCACTATCAGTAGGTATGTGTTTGTACTGTCACTATCAACAGGTATGTGTTCATACTGTCACTATCAGCAGGTATGTGTTCATACTGTCACTGTCAGTAGGTATGTGTTCGTACTGTGTCTGTCAGTAGGTATGTGTTTGTACTATCACTGTCAGCAGGTATGTGTTTATACTGTCAGTATCAGTAGGTAGGTAATTTTACCAGTGTCTGTCAGTAGGTTGTTATTGTACTGTAAGTATCAGCAGGTATGTGTTTATGTTGTCAGTATCAGCAGCTAGGTGTTTGTACTGTGTCTGTCAGCAGCTAGGTGTTTGTACTGTGTCTGTCAGTAGGTATATGTTTGTACTGTGTCTGTCAGTAGGTATGTGTTTTTGGCTGAATAATAGTATTTGTGCAATACCCCATGAATTCTAGCGCTGCATATATGTGGGGGTGGGGGTGGAGAATAGACACTGCCTCCTTAACAAGTATGCCAAAAATATCAACTATCACAAGTTTACTGAAATCACATGTGTTGTGTGAAAGGTGAGATATAGTAGCCTGTCTGTAAACCACAACACAGTATAGCAGTTGCCATTTGGAGGGCAAACAGATGATGAAGAAGAAGGATTTAGAGTCTAGTGTTACCTCATTCCAAGACTGTGAAACATTGAACATGACAGCTTATATCCGTTTTTGTGTCAGAATCTCTGTCAGTCTTGACAGTAGATTTATGCTGTCACTGTCGCAGTGTATGCTAGCAGACTGCTGTCATGTGATAATGACTGAATGTGCACCTGTTACAGTGTATGCTAGCAGACTGCTGTCATGTGATAATGACTGAATGTGCACCTGTTGCAGTGTATGCTAGCAGACTGCTGTTATGTGATAATGACTGAATGTGCACCTGTTGTAGTGTATGCTAGCAAACCGCTGTCATGTGATAATGACTGAATGTGCACCTGTTACAGTGTATGCTAGCAAACCGCTGTCATGTGATAATGACTGAATGTGCACCTGTTGCAGGAGATTGTCGTGGGCAGCAACATGGATAAGATCTACATTGTCATGGACTTTGTGGAGCACGACCTTAAGAGTTTGATGGAGAATATGAAGAACCCTTTCCTTGTGGGTAAGTTGGCTAGAGCTCTTGTACGCCATCACAGATTTGTTTCTGACGTTCATTTGTGGCCATTTGAATATGTGCTGTTTTTATACAAACATTTGTGATGGAAAAATTATCACAGAGATATCATACAGGTAAAAAAAACTACGTTTATTTAAAAGTGAAGGACATCTTATGCAATGTGTCTCTGCCATTGAAAGTTAGAAAACAATTATCGCATGCTATATACAGCCAGGTTTAAAATATGGCTATGAATCCTGGACAATCAGTAAAGAAGCCACGCAATTTCTGGAGGCCTTGAAGATGTGGTATTACAGAAACATATTTAACTTTTCATGAACAGCCAAAAATGAGTCATGCAGATGTTTGGAAAGAAGTCAGGAGATAAAGATAACTGAGCACAAAAATCAGAAAGAGACAGTCATCATTTGGTGACCATGTTATCAGAAGGAGGACACTAAAACAAGTTGGATTTGTGGAAACAAAGAAAACACCAGCAGATTCTTGACAGCTTTGTATCATGGCATGGAGGGCTGTCAGCACATGCAATGACCAATACAATTGGAAACTATAGGTTGTGGAGATGTGTGATTGACTGTTCTAGCCAGAAAGGCATTGGATGATCACTTGAGTTTCTAATGTTCATTTGTAGACATTTGAGTACGCACTCTCTCTGTACCGTCATCAGCTGTCATATGTTTTCTAATGTTTACGTGTAGACATGTTAACTTCAGTTTATTTTTAGTTTTCAAAAAGCATCGTCAGCATCTAGTGCCATGAGCATGGGCAATCAGTTTTCTCTGTACATCATGTGATCTGTCACAGAATTATCAGTATATTGTAGATTGTGATCTAGATTCTCATCTCACTGTCTTCCTGTACCTTTCTTATCATATATCATTGTAATGTGTTTCAGCTTTGAAGGTAGCCATCTTTCTTAGCTGTTTGTTTCTTATGTGTATCATAAAATGGTATCCTGTTGAAGTTTACCGTGCTCATTTGACTGTCATTGTTGTTTTCAGCTACAACATCACATAAGTTTAGCATCAGGGGTTTTTGGTTAAATGCCCCACTGCATTAGTGAAGTGATGCAGTCACACGGGTACAGTTGACTGGTTACCCTGGTTAGTGATCATGTTAACACTTGGTGATCCTGATGCTGTAGTCTGGCAGGGTGTTACGGATGCCTGCTCTAACTGACACATTGAGTTTCCCACTAAAGTTAGTTGTCAGGATGTTTCTGAGACGTTGAGTGTCTGATTGTGACTCCTCAGGTGAAGTGAAGACGCTGCTGAAGCAGCTGCTGCGTGCCGTGAGACATCTCCATGATAACTGGATTCTTCACAGAGACCTCAAGACCTCTAATCTCCTGCTGAGCCATAAAGGCATTCTCAAGGTAGACTTCTGTGATTTTTGTGTACAAATGTCTTATGTCATCAAATTGGCTACAGAGTGCACCACATAGAATGTATCTCTGTTCTCTTTCATGTCTGCTAGCTTCTTTAAGTAGTCTCAGTCAAAAGTCTATCAGCTGGCTTTAGACCATGTTTGCATGGAAGCCCAGGTCAGTGACAAATCTCAGCCTCAGAGGAGTTCAGAGATATGAACTCTGCATGTCGACCACCAAAAAAACTAAGAGAGCATGTTTATCTTCACATTCACTGGCTTTAAACTTCAAAAAAAATCCCTGGTTGTTTGACCACCTCTGCGCTTTGGTCTTGTTCCAGAACCTAGGAGCTGTACACCCATCGGCTTGACAGATCTGGCTAATTTGTGTGAAGACTGCTGGTTCCTCACCTGTCTGACAGATGCACTCTGACTTTAAAGGAAATGTCGATCTTATCTGATGGCCAGGCTGCCAGTGGAGGTTCTCTTTCGAGGATGACTGTGGAGATGTAGATCAGGTCTTGACCAGAGTAAAACCAGGTCCTGTTACTTCACCGCAACATGTGGTCTAGCTACTCTGTACCCCTGCTAACGTTGACCTCTCTATTACAGTAACCTCCCCTGCCAGTATTCAGTTCTGGGAAATGGTCTACATTTGATTACATTGTTGTATGATGTTCAGGAACTGGTTAGTTGTTGACTTTCCTGAAATGTTTCCGTTTGTATCTGTTGGTTTAACTGACAATAATATTTGCAGGTAGGAGACTTTGGCCTGGCAAGAGAGTATGGTTCTCCCTTGAAGTCCTATACACCGATTGTGGTCACCTTGTGGTACAGAGCTCCAGAACTGTTGCTAGGATGTAAGGTAAGTCCTTCAGTGGGAGCCAGAACACAAGGTGCTGCTAGCTGCATTAGAGCTCCGGCTTACATCCAACAGATTTGGGAGACATGACTCTATGGCTAGGATGGATTGTGCAAGATGATGATGGATTATATCTCTTGATCCTAGGGTGAAGGATCTGCAGCAAGCTCTTCTCTTAGATAAGGTCACAAACATTTATGGGACGTGTGTGTGTTGAAAACCTCTTGTCAGTTGGACATAGACTAGAGCAAGCCAAATGGGCCACTGCCTGGGTCACATAGACTAGAGCTAGCCAAATGGGCCACTGCCTGGGTCACATAGACTAGAGCAAGCCAAATGGGCCACTGCCTGGGTCACATAGACTAGAGCTAGCCAAATGGGCCACTGCCTGGGTCAGAGTTCACAGGATAAAACTTACCAGAAACTGGAATATTTATGGCATGTGTGGTTGTGAAGCACACTGATTTGAATCTTTGCTATTGTTTGAAGTTTGTGCTTGTGCGGTGCTTGGGGACCAATCCTTGTGCAGTGTCAGTGGGTCTTTTGCAAACACACCCAACATTATACTTCAGAACATGGCTGTGGACAGATGATTGAGCTTGGCTTTTACTGGACCACCCGCCTCAGAGGCAGACATTGATATCTTATAGAATCCTTCAGTTTTTGACATTGTACACATAACCAGGTATCCTGCAGTGGTGGCATACCCTGAGATTGTTGACATTGTACACATAACCAGGTATCCTGCAGTGGTCGCATACCCTGAGATTTTTGACATTGTACACATAACTAGGTATCCTTCAGTGGTGGCATACCCTGAGATTTTTGACATTGTACACATAACTAGGTATCCTTCAGTGGTGGCATACCCTGAGATTTTTGACATAGTACACATAACCAGGTATCCTTCAGTGATGGCATACCCTGAGATTTTTGACATTGTACACATAACCAGGTATCCTGCAGTGGTGGCATACCCTGAGATTTTTGACATTGTACACATAACCATGTATCCTTCAGTGGTGGCATACCCTGAGATTTTTGACATTGTACACATAACTAGGTATCCTTCAGTGGTGGCATACCCTGAGATTTTTGACATTGTACACATAACTAGGTATCCTTCAGTGGTGGCATACCCTGAGATTTTTGACATTGTACACATAACCAGGTATCCTTCAGTGGTGGCATACCCTGAGATTTTTGACATTGTACACATAACCAGGTATCCTGCAGTGATGGCATACCCTGAGATTTTTGACATTGTACACATAACCAGGTATCCTGCAGTGGTTGCATGCCCTAACCCATGTGCCTGTTATCTGCTACAGGAATACTCGACACACATTGATATGTGGTCTGTGGGCTGCATATTTGCGGAGTTCTTCCTGATGAAGGCTTTGTGGCCAGGCAAGTCTGAGATTGATCAGATCAACAAGATCTTCAAGGTGAGATTTGACAGTGTGTTTGTTTTCTTTTGCTTGGACAATATCGTTTCCTGTTTTCTTTTGCTTGGACAATATCGTTTCCTGTTTTCTTTTGCTTGGACAATATCGTTTCCTGTTTTCTTTTGCTTGGACAATATCATTTCCTGTTTTCTCTTGCTTGGACAATATCGTTTCCTGTTTTCTCTTGCTTGGACAATATCGTTTCCTGTTTTCTTTTGCTTGGACAATATCGTTTCCTGTTTTCTTTTGCTTGGACAATATTGTTTCCTGTTTTCTTTTGCTTGGACAATATCGTTTCCTGTTTTCTCTTGCTTGGACAATATCGTTTCCTGTTTTCTCTTGCTTAGACAATATCGTTTCCTGTTTTATTTTGCTTGGACAATATCGTTTCCTGTTTTCTTTTGCTTGGACAATATTGTTTCCTGTTTTCTTTTGCTTGGACAATATCGTTTCCTGTTTTCTCTTGCTTGGACAATATCGTTTCCTGTTTTCTCTTGCTTAGACAATATCGTTTCCTGTTTTATTTTGCTTGGACAATATCGTTTCCTGTTTTCTTTTGCTTGGACAATATCGTTTCCTGTTTTCTTTTGCTTGGACAATATCGTTTCCTGTGTGCTGCCTCAGAGAATTCCCCTATAGAAAATCAAAGACTGAAGCTTCCATTTCCGTGACTTGGAGTATATTTAGCTCACGATGGTCATCCTGCAGTGTCATTTTATGTCACATGGTGCTCGCAGTCTAGCTTTCCATTCTGCTCGATCCTCTAGATACAGTGGATGCAATCCATTCCAGTACTTTTGGCCTCTCTCAGCAGCATGGGTGTCTCTTGGTTGTTCTTGGTTCTTCAGTCTCTTTGATTCCCATTTCAATGTCTGTTTAGTGATTCTGTGTTTCTCTTTAGGATCTGGTTAGTATATTGCCATCTTCTTTGTCTTGGGGCTGATAGTATGTGTCACCATACCAGTTGTCAAGCTTTCTGGTCATATTTCATTTTCATTCATTTTATTCACAGAGCCACCTATGACAGACTTAACTCTTTAAGTCCTGAGGAATGTAACATTAATAAGTTCCTACCTAGAAGCCCAGTGAAGGCAAGATTTGCTGATTGTACATCTCTCTTGACTACCACTTGGGCCTCAGGTCTCTGATGCTAAATCCTGGGACTGAAAGAGTTCAGCAGTAAATAGTCAATAATCTCTCTTCATAACTGTTCTTTATAACTTCAGCTTGGTAAATGAAGGAACATTGTAGTCACAGATGTTCTTGATGTGCTTTTCAATATCTTATTGTTCTTTCTTTTGCAGGATTTGGGCACTCCAACGGAGAAAATCTGGCCTGGGGTGTCTGAGTTGCCAGGCATGAAGAAAGTTCAGTTTAATGAGAATCCCTACAATGTGGTCAAGAATAGATTCGGGACATACCTGACTGATCTTGGCTTCGACTTGCTAAACAGGTAAGTGCTGCTGACTTTTATTTTCATAGTTTGTTATCATTGGGGATTGGCTAGTTCAAGGATTTGTAAAGTTTGCTCTCTTTGGGAAAACCTCCTTAGTAAGACAATAATTGTTTTTGTTTCACAGCAGAAATAATTATCCTTACCTGCAAAAGTTTATGGTGACTGGACTAACTGTGCAGTTTGTGGTGACTGGACTGACTGTGCAGATTGTGGTGACTGGACTAACTGTACAGTTTGTGGTGACTGGACTAACTGTACAGTTTGTGGTGACTGGACTAACTGTACAGTTTGTGGTGACTGGACTAACTGTACAGTTTGTGGTGACTGGACTAACTGTACAGTTTGTGGTGACTGGACTAACTGTACAGTATGTGGTGACTGGACTAACTGTACAGTTTGTGGTGACTGGACTAACTGTGCAGTTTGTGGTGACTGGACTAACTGTACAGTTTGTGGTGACTGGACTAACTGTACAGTTTGTGGTGACTGGACTATATGTACAGTTTGTGGTGACTGGACTAACTGTACAGTTTGTGGTGACTGGACTAACTGTACAGTTTGTGGTGACTGGACTAACCGTACTGCCCTAAATCTTGATGTTGAAGATCTCTGGCCTGCATCAAGGATGATTTGTTCGTTCAGTGGTGCATGACAAAAGTGTTGTTTGTGTAGTCACAGTTTTTGTAAAGGCTCGAAGTGCGAGGGGATGTGATGGTGGGAGGGTGAAGGTGTCGAAGGACAGTTTAATGTTTATGTTTAGAAATGACATAACATTTCTGGTTGTTTCTGGTAGATGGTAGATGGGATATATCCATTATGCAATGTTCGCATTGTATCAGCTGCCTGAAAGACAGTAACTGGTGACATTTCATTTTTTCAAAGCACAGTGCATCTGCCTGAGAGGTTAAAAAAAACCAGCATGCAAACTAAAAAGCCAGTTCTGTGAAACAGATATGCACACAAAACTCAGGTTCTGGAGCAAGATTGATGTCCAGAAATGAAAGAACAACCAGAACTTTCTACTAAAGTTTACAGCCGATGAAGAAGCGGGCGAAGAACCTGGACGTTCTACTGGAGTTTACAGAGGATGAAGAAGTGGACAAACAACCAGAACTTTCTACTAGAGTTTACAGAGGATGAAAAAGTGGACAAACAACCAGAACTTTCTACTAGAGTTTACAGAGGATGAAGAAGTGGACAAACAACTATAATTTTCTACTAGAGTTTACAGAGGATGAAGAAGTGGACAAACAACTAGAACTTTCTACTAGAGGATGAAGAAGTGGACTAACAACTAGAACTTTCTACTAGAGTTTACAGAGGATGAAGAAATGGACAAACAACCAGAACTTTCTACTAAAGTTTACAGAGGATGAAGAAGTGGACAAACAACCAGAACTTTCTACTAGAGTTTACAGAGGATGAAGAAGTGGACAAACAACTAGAACTTTCTACTAGAGTTTACAGCCGATAATGAAGTGCATGAACAACCAGAACTTTCTACTGTAGAAGAACAAATTGTGAAATATGCAGTAGTTACCTGAAATAATAAATCCTTATGTTCAGAGAGAATTCTATCCATATAATACAAATTTCTGGCTCCAGCTTCAGTCCTGAGAAGTCAAGGTCACCAATTATATACCAGCCACAGAGGCCTGTATTATATCAGGACCCTTAGAGGAAGCAAAGAGTATTATCAGCTGGCACCTTACAAGAGGGAATTATGGGTCTTGGCATCGTCTCCCTTATCTCATAAAACACTTCAGCTGTAATAGCCGATCACATGTGAACAAAATTTAAACACTATGATTATTTGAAAAGCATCACTTGCTGCCAGGGTAGAAGAAGACTTATAATTCGGCTTACAAGAATAATTAGAATGTGGTTGGTTGATGTTGCTGTTGTGTGCTAAATGAGTTACCACTAGTCAGCACACTACCAAGTGTCTAGCAGGTACCCTTCAGCTTCCTCTCTTAGAAATAGAACTCGACGACGATGACACCGTCATACATTTTTATTTAACAGGATACATGACACAAATGCAGAGACGTAGTTACTAATCACAGTTGACATTCGCACATCGTCCATTTGTCTTCACTCGCTCTCTCTCCTTCAATTTGTAGCGACCTCTCCTTGACTACTACAGCTCCAAGGACTACAGCGTCCCACACTATGGACGCGCCGTACAGCTGAACAGGACAAATTCTCACATTTCCTGGACCTTGATATTATTTCAGCATATTACACGACTGACCGGAGACGGACTTTGCTGGCTGTACTCCGAAAACACACAGGTGTTGTCAGCTTGTCGTAGGGCTCGGATGACCAACAGGACTTCTACCATAAGTCCTCTCTAGCACACAGCTCTCGTCGGTACCACTCCTCCCTGTTCTGTTTCCGTAGTGGTCCTCCTATGTTTCACTACGTCGCCACCCAGAACAGGTACTACGGGAGCCTTCAGTCCCCTGGACTTACTTTGCCAGCGGGACTATATCTTCTTCAGTACCGCAACCTCGACACTCACTCTGACCTAATTGCCTGATAGTCGTACGGTATTCTTGTCTGTTACACTCGCGAGAGATATCACGGACCGTGACTTGGTCTCTGACTCTCGATTTCTTTCTCTCTCTCTTCTCGCTTCTCTCTCGACTGCTTCTTGATTGCCCTCTCAGCCCTCTAATTTATCCCCCTCAAATCCGTGTAGGTGGATGATGATTACAGGAGAGGCACGCTTGCATGTGCTTTCTCGTGACTCATGATCCCGTGGGTGTTCTCGGGACTCACGCTCATGTGTACGTTCTCGAGGATCACACTTATGTGGGTGGTTGATGTTACCTGAGAATCACACTGTCGCTTAATTCACACTTTCTCTATCTCGTTAGCCATGCTTTCAGCCCCCAGACAGTAACCCACACGTCCACGTTTTCTCGTGCGTGCACGCCTTGTTCATGAACAGACATTCTCACTGGTCTCCTCTCACTACTCGGACCATGTTGACACAATTCTTCGCCCCCCCCCCCCCCCCCCCCCCCCCCCCCCCAAACCTCCACCCCCCCCCCCCCCCCCCCCCCCCCCCCCCCCCCCCCGTGAACTCACAGAAAGTACTGGCATACCACTGTCCCTTCACACACTATCACACTCACACTTTACCCAAATCAGCGCGCAACAGTTGCAAACAGTCGAGAGATACATGTTTAAGACAGTAGTTTTATGTCTGCAAGAATAATTAGTTGGTTAATGTCGCAGCCATATCAGTGTTTGAGGTACGAATGTCAAGTGACTGCAGTAACTCACACATTTATGGTAGATTGTTTTGTAGTGATTACATTCTTGGTAAGCAGATTATTTCAAGTGTTTAAACTTTTGCTTGCCAGGTTTTTTGCCTATGATCCAGCCAAACGAATAACAGCAGAAGAAGCCATTGAGCATGAATACTTCAATGAGTCTCCTCTGCCAGTTGATCCATCAATGTTCCCAACATGGCCTGCTAGAAGTGAGCAGACTAGAAAACACTCTGGCAACTCACCAAAGCCACCATCGGGTGGCAAAGCCTACCAGAAACTGATGGTGAGTAGTGGCAGGTTGTGTTTTGAGTACAGGTATGTTGTCCCTGGCATAGTCTCTGTGTCAGCTCAGTTCTGTTTTGAGTACAGGTATGTTGTCACTGGCATGGTCTCTGTGTCAGCTCAGTTCTGTTTTGAGTACAGGTGTGTTGTCACTGGCATGGTCTCTGTGTCAGCACAGTTCTGTTTTGAGTACAGGTATGTTGTCACTGGCATAGTCTCTGTGTCAGCTCAGTTCTGTTTTGAGTACAGGTATGTTGTCCCTGGCATAGTCTCTGTGTCAGCTCAGTTCTGTTTTGAGTACAGGTGTGTTGTCACTGGCATGGTCTCTGTGTCAGCTCAGTTCTGTTTTGAGTACAGGTGTGTTGTCACTGGCATGGTCTCTGTGTCAGCTCAGTTCTGTTTTGAGTACAGGTGTGTTATCACTGGCATGGTCTCTGTGTCAGCTCAGTTCTGTTTTGAGTACAGGTGTGTTGTCACTGGCATGGTCTCTGTGTCAGCTCAGTTCTGTTTTGAGTACAGGTGTGTTGTCACTGGCATGGTCTCTGTCAGCTCACTTCAGATATAAAGCTGGAGCATGCATGGCCAGACACAGTTGTGGAAGACAATGCAGACTTTAGAAGTTGAATATATGACCTGTGTTATGGAGACATTCATATTGTTATCGCCATTTGGTCCATTGATACTGTCTCTTGGTCCACTCATTGTATCACATTTTTCTCCAGTGACAATATTATTTATGTCTCAAGTCGATAGATTCATTTATTTATTGCTGTTTCTGGACCCAGTAGTATTGATTTTTGTCTGATTTGAACACCATGATACAGAAAATGAAGAATTAGATGTAATAGAAATCTTATATCTTACTCAACAAAATTGTCAATTCAATTTTCAGAGTTGCTGACAGAAATCACCTTATTTTTTTTTGGCTTAATGATTTGGAGGCTGCAGATTTTAATGTTAGAAAATTTTTATTTTTGGGAGAAGGATTGAAAAAGATTTTAAAAATTGTACTTGTTCAGGGGAGTGGTAGATAAGCTTTAGAATGTGAGCTATGGAGTCCTACTGTTGAGAAGCGACTGTGCAAATACAAAGCTTGGCCTCCCTGTTATAAAGCCAACACTGCCTCCTGGCCAGGTGTCCAGAGGTGAATGATTAATGCTTCACCCATATATGCAAAAGTTCTTAAGTCGACCTGCTGGCGACTTATTGGATTCCCTACCAGAGAGTGCTTAACTAACACAGTTTAAAAAGTCACATGATACAACGAACCCTTTGTCAACAGTATCACGGCAACACATCAGGAGGCATCTGTCATAGTGCTTCAGTCTAATACTCTGTCACTAGTATCAGGGCAACACATCAGGAGGCATCTGTCATAGTGCTTCAGTCTAATACTCTGTCACCAGTATCAGGGCAACACATCAGGAGGCATCTGTCATAGTGCTTCAGTCTAATACTCTGTCACCAGTATCAGGGCAACACATCAGGAGGCATCTGTCATAGTGCTTCAGTCAGTTTTATTAATTGGCAGTTATAAAGCGACGATGTTCAGTGGCAGACGTGAATAATAACGTTGGCTAAACATTCTAATTATCCATGGGTATAAACAATACACATGCCGACAACCCAAAGGCAAGTAGGCCCATGTGTGTCAGTTTTCTGATACAGACAGAGAGGCAATGCCTCCTTCACCAGTAACCTTCAGCAGCTAACCTTTGGCTCTCGCACTTTCCGTGAAGCTTCAGTTTTCCGTGAAAGTGTAGACCCACTTGTTTAGTGTGGACCCTTTGCACTCATCACTTTCATCTTACACTGTGAACCGCTTGCACTCGTGACCATCCTTATTTTCATCAGCCAGTGTCTTCACGACCAGCGTAGGCGATCACACCCCTGTACTCTGGTACCATTGACCAGCAGATGAATTCTAGATAAACCCTAGAACATGAACTATAGTTTGGTTAATTAACCCATGTGTGTTTGTCTCTTCCTAACAGGACGACGAGGAACATTTTGCTGCCGGTGGCTTCCACATGTCGACGGCAGCCAAGGGAGCATCAGCCCAGGGCATGGGCTTTGCTCTCAAGTTTTAGTCTATCCCAGAGCTGTGTGTGTGTGTCTGTCGGTGCTCACCTGTAAATATGTCAGACTTCATTCGTGTCAGTCAGTGATATTTGTTTCATGAGTAAAACTGAGGAGTGTTCCATTGCTGGTGTGTGGACTTTGGTACTGGTGTTGAGCGCATGTTTGCACAGAGAGGGCTCACAAGTTGGGATACAACATCAAGAGGTGGAACGGGATCAACCTGTCCCAGTAGTAGACGAGCTGTGGGAGACTAAACAGAGCCGACACTGTGAAGATGGTAGTCCTCTTCTGTTTGTACTCTCTATGTGAAGATGGTAGTCCTCTTCTGCCTGTACTCTCTATGTGAAGATGGTAGTCCTCTTCTGCCTGTACTCTCCATGTAAAGATGGTAGTCCTCTTCTGCCTGTACTCTCTATGTGAAGATGATAGTCCTCTTCTGTCTAAACTCTCCATGTGAAGATGGTAGTCCTCTTCTGCCTGTACTCTCTATGTGAAGATGGTAGTCCTCTTCTGTCTAAACTCTCTATGTGAAGATGGTAGTCCTCTTCTGCCTGTACTCTCTATGTGAAGATGATAGTCCTCTTCTGTCTGTACTCTCTATGTGAAGATGGTAGTCCTCTTCTGCCTGTACTCTCTATGTGAAGATGGTAGTCCTCTTCTGCCTAAACTCTCTATGTGAAGATGGTAGTCCTCTTCTGCCTGTACTCTCTATGTGAAGATGGTAGTCCTCTTCTGCCTGTACTCTCCATGTAAAGATGGTAGTCCTCTTCTGTCTGTACTCTCTATGTGAAGATGGTAGTCCTCTTCTGCCTGTACTCTCCATGTAAAGATGGTAGTCCTCTTCTGCCTAAACTCTCTATGTGAAGATGGTAGTCCTCTTCTGTCTGTACTCTCTATGTGAAGATGGTAGTCCTCTTCTGTCTGTACTCTCTATGTGAAGATGGTAGTCCTCTTCTGCCTAAACTCTCTATGTAAAGATGGTAGTCCTCTTCTGTCTGTACTCTCTATGTGAAGATGGTAGTCCTCTTCTGTCTGTACTCTCTATGTGAAGATGGTAGTCCTCTTCTGTCTGTACTCTCTATGTGAAGATGGTAGTCCTCTTCTGCCTAAACTCTCCATGTGAAGATGGTAGTCCTCTTCTGTCTAAACTCTCTATGTGAAGATGGTAGTCCTCTTCTGTCTGTACTCTCTATGTGAAGCATTGGCTCACAGCAGTCACCTTATAGACTGATTTATTATTGGTGGGATTGTTTTAAGCCAGAAGTCGGAGTGTCTTGATGCTGACTGCCTGTCGTACCCTGGTTATGTACCTGTTAGGACTTGCCTCTGTTGTACCTGACCTCTGTTGTACCCTGGTTATGTACCTGTTAGGACTGGCCTCTGTTGTACCCTGGTTATGTACCTGTTAGGACTGGCCTCTGTTGTACCCTGGTTATGTACCTGTTGGGACTGACCTCTGTTGTACCCTGGTTATGTACCTGTTGTACCTGACCTCTGTTGTACCCTGGTTATGTACCTGTTAGGACTGGCCTCTGTTGTACCCTGGTTATGTACTTGTTAGGACTGGCCTCTGTTGTACCCTGGTTATGTACCTGTTGTACCTGACCTCTGTTGTACCCTGGTTATGTACTTGTTAGGACTGGCCTCTGTTGTACCCTGGTTATGTACCTGTTGTACCTGACCTCTGTTGTACCCTGGTTATGTACCTGTTGTACCTGACCTCTGTTGTACCCTGGTTATGTACCTGTTAGGACTGGCCTCTGTTGTACCCTGGTTATGTACTGTTGTACCTGACCTCTGTTGTACCCTGGTTATGTACTTGTTAGGACTGGCCTCTGTTGTACCCTGGTTATGTACCTGTTGTACCTGACCTCTGTTGTACCCTGGTTATGTACCTGTTAGGACTGGCCTCTGTTGTACCCTGGTTATGTACCTGTTAGGACTGGCCTCTGTTGTACCCTGGTTATGTACCTGCTGGGACTGGCCTCTGTTGTACCCTGGTTATGTACCTGTTTGAACTGGCCTCTGTTGTACCCTGGTTATGTACTTGTTAGGACTGGCCTCTGTTGTACTCTGGTTGTGTACTTGTTAGGACTGGCCTCTGTTGTACCCTGGTTATGTACCAATACCTGTTAGGACTGGCCTCTGTTGTACCCTGGTTATGTACTTGTTAGGACTGGCCTCTGTTGTACCCTGGTTATGTACCTGCTGGGACTGGCCTCTGTTGTACCTGACCTCTGTTGTACCCTGGTTATGTACCTGTTGGAACTGGCCTCACCCAGGGCCTTGGTGATGAGATATAGACTCGAAGCCTCCCCTAACAGCTGTAATAGGGCTGATTATTCAGTGTACATGTCAGAAGAGAGAGAGAAGAGTTGCTGACTTTTAAAATACCTTGTAGGACATAATAAGGACTATGATGGTGCAGTGGATAGTGCATTTATCTATAGAAACAGTAACATGAGTCGAGTTCCCAGAAGGGACAGCATGTTGTCCAGCCAGCAAGGCTCTCATCAAAATGTGCACTAGACAGTGTCCACAGTGTTCTGGTCATTCTCTGGGAGGTGACCATGTCCAGCAAGGCAGATGACCAGTCTGTGTTAGGGGCTGGAGTATTAGAATGTGGACTGACACTTCACACCACAGTAACAATAGATGATTGATGTGTTTATGTGAACGCTTGTGTTCTTTAAAGGATTGTATACTTGCCTGCCTCAGATATTGAATGAGAGGGAACGAGATAGCAGAGATTCAGAAATGTAATGTCAACTTTGTTGTTGTTCTTGGAGATATTCAGTGAGCATGTGCGAGATACCATGTTGTTGTTGTTGTAAATTAAACAAAGTTGAAGACGGTGGTTTCTTGTGTGGTTGGTATTTGGTCAGTATGTGGAGTTGTTGCCATCCTGTGTATTGCTGGTAGCTAGCCCCTGATCTGCTGGCACACGGTGGGCAATGTAGTGAGAGTATTGACTGGTCTGTTGCTGTGGACATTTCCTAATGCTGGGTTGAGCTGGCAATGTTTTGATCCTGTGAGATCCACAGCTGGGACCAGTAGGTCAGCAGTAGCTGCATCTGCTGCTTGCTGTCCACTGTGTCAAGTCTCTGCCAACCCATAGGTCTTAGGTATCAGTCCTTAGGGAGGGGTGGGGGGTGTGTCTCTGCTAACCTGACCACACAACCTACTTGTAAAGCATGCCTGTGTCAAGGTCAATAATAAATATAGCTAACTTCATATGGTATTGATTAGTAGAGGAACCTTGGGTTTGCATGGAGGGACTCAGCACAAATGAGGAGCAGTGATATCAGCGGCAGGTTCCAAGTTATCCATTGTTGTGGTGAAACTGGTCTATAAGAATTGTTACTGGAAACATTTGCCAAAGTCAGCCAATCATTGAGAGATAGACTGTTGGAGGACTGCAGCTGTCTCAATATCTTTATAAAATCAGGTGACTGGTTTCATGTCCGTCACCATTTAAGTGAGGCTAGTCTAGGCAGGAGGAAGGGAACTGTTCACTCAGTTTCATATGACCTGCTGTAGGCAATGTGAAGGCCTGACATTTCACACACAGTTCATTTATATGCCCCAGGACTGCCTTGAACATTCTTGAGGAGAACGACAACCTAGTGTTCACCAGACAACACAGTGTTCACCAGACAACCTAGTGTTCACCAGACAACCTAGTGTTCACCAGACAACCTAGTGTTCACCAGACAACACAGTGTTCACCAGACAACCTAGTGTTCACCAGACAACACAGTGTTCACTAGACAACCTAGTGTTCACTAGACAACACAGTGTTCACCAGACAACACAGTGTTCACCAGACAACACAGTGTTCACTAGACAACACAGTGTTCACCAGACAACCTAGTGTTCGCCAGACAACATAGTGTTCACTAGACAACATAGTGTTCACTAGACAACACAGTGTTCACCAGACAACACAGTGTTCACCAGACAACCTAGTGTTCACCAGACAACGCAGTGTTCGCCAGACAACATAGTGTTCACCAGACAACCTAGTGTTCACCAGACAACCTAGTGTTCACCAGACAACCTAGTGTTCGCCAGACAACCTAGTGTTCGCCAGACAACACAGTGTTCACCAGACAACATAGTGTTCACCAGACAACATACTGTTCACCAGACAACACAGTGTTCACCAGACAACCTAGTGTTCACCAGACAACCTAGTGTTCGCCAGACAACACAGTGTTCACTAGACAACATAGTGTTCACCAGACAACATACTGTTCACCAGACAACACAGTGTTCACCAGACAACACAGTGTTCACCAAACAAAACACAGTGTTCACCAGACAACACAGTGTTCACCAGACAACATACTGTTCACCAGACAACATACTGTTCACCAGACAACATACTGTTCACCAGACAGCACACTGTTCACCAGACAGCACAGTGTTCACCAGACAACACAGTGTTCACCAGACAACATACTGTTCACCAGACAGCACAGTGTTCACCAGACAACACAGTGTTCACCAGACAGCACAGTGTTCACCAGACAACACAGTGTTCACCAGACAACACAGTGTTCACCAGACAACACACTGTTCACCAGACACCACAGTGTTCACCAGACACCACAGTGTTCACCAGACAACACAGTGTTCACCAGACAACACAGTGTTCACCAGACACCACAGTGTTCACCAGACAACACAGTGTTCACCAGACAACACAGTGTTCACCAGACAACACAGTGTTCACCAGACAACCTAGTGTTCTCCAGACAACCTAGTGTTCACCAGACAACCTAGTGTTCACCAGACAACCTAGTATTCACCAGACAACACAGTATTCACCAGACAACACAGTGTTCACCAGACAACATACTGTTCACCAGACAACATACTGTTCACCAGACAACACAGTGTTCACCAGACAACACAGTGTACACCAGACAACACAGTGTTCACCAGACAACACAGTGTTCACCAGACAACACAGTGTTCACCAGACAACATAGTGTTCACCAGA